AGTATGCCTTGTTACCCAGGCAGCAGCTTGATGTATCATATGTTTACCGCGTCTCTTGGATGCATTGAGAGAACATGTCCCTCTTGTTAAGTGGCATGTGATTGTATATCTATCTAGCCATATCTAATATTAAGTAAAGTATAAGGTTTGTCACTATGTGACTTTGGGCAAGACACAAGCCTTCTGTGGGATATATCCCTGTGAGAGCACTGGTGGGGCAGATGGAGGATCTATGTGTATGTTTCTGAGATCTGGTGCTTTTGTCTGGCCAACATGGAGCCCTCTTCTATTGGAAACAGTGCCTCAGGTTTTTTTTTTTTTTCTTGAATGAGAAGACTACTCCATCACCCTCAGTCCTAGGGTTTAAGTAAGGTCAACATCACTTCCTATCCCCCGTGGTGAGCCTATGACCAAGGCTGAGCTGGTGTGGGGAAAAGAGCAGGCTGTCCAGACCGCCTTTGCCTGTGGATTCTTGGTACCTTGGGCATGCAAGTGCAGGGAGGCAGGAATTCACCAGCATAGTTTTTTTGGTCCAGATGCAGAGCCCCAGCCATGAACACTAGGCCTGGTATCCCCACCATCTGTGTGAGTTAAGGAGCCTTCTGTACCCGGATGAGTCTGAGACATCTCACCCTAATTTCTCACTCTGGGTTGATGGAGCCTGACACTGCATCCTCACTAAGCACACAGGTGATTCCCAATCCAATCCCTCATTGTACATCTGGGAACTGAATCTCAGAAAAAGCCAAGGACTTTCCTAGCCCTGCTATAGGGAAGGGTATTCAGTCTCCAAGAATCATAACAAGGGGCCCAGAGCATGAATAGGGCAAACTGAGGTTCCCTAAGGTCCCCAGATAGCTTTAGAAGGACAGCAGCAGTATTCTGAAATCTGCTGCTCTTGGCGCCTGGAATAGGATAAGCTTCTTCTCAGTGTGAATAGGGGCTGTAGGAAAGAAAGCCTCCATCTCCTACAGTGTAGACTGGGGTGCTTGGAGTGGGTGATTTCAAAGATTCCCCATGCTCAAAAAGTGCCTATTGAAATGAGTTCTCTGTCAGTGGCTCACTGTGCCCCAAGACCCTGGAAATATGCTTTTCACTCCCTGGAGGTCACTCAGAGCAGAGGGAGAATGGAGGTTTGGTGGATGAGCACTTCATTTGAGGCAGAAGGAGCCCTTGCACTGGATCCTGAATCTATGAGAGCGTGAGGCTTTGGGGGGACATCTAGTATAAACCATCACACTATGATTAGATTCAGACCAAGGGGCCTCATCCCGGCCTGAAGAGTGGTGGCATCCACAGCAGCTTACAACGATCCCCTCCTCCTGGTACATACAGAGTATATATGGAAGTAAGAGGAGTCATTGTGGCTGAGGTGAGGATACCTCCTGAATGCCCTGGACATTCCCTCTAGGGGGTGTAGGCAAAGAGTGGATCAGTGAGATACCCAAAGTCTCTTACATTGTCTTTGGAGACTTCATACCCTCTCTTTTGCCCCCATGAGACCGCAGAAGCCCTGCCTTGGGGTCACTCAAATGTGTGATGTGGTTGATGTTTCTGTCTGGGGCTGTGGTGCTGGTGCTGACCACCAGGGGGAGGCAGCTCACTGGGTCAGTGGTGCCCTTGGGCTTTGCTGGAACCAGGTGAAAGCCATGCTGGTCATTCTGACTGTCCTTCTGTCCCAGGCCCAATTGACACCTCCTGTTACTAGTGATCATCTCTAGAGTCTGACCTGGTGAGAAGTGGGAGGTGGAGCTCTGCAGTCTTTCCAATTATCTGGCATGTTCAGCAACCGTGTCCCCCTGAGCACTAACTCCGTACAAAGTACCCAGATGGGCCCACTATGAGGTACTGAAAACCGCTGGGTGACACTTGAGTGGAGTTCAGAGCCTGGAGAAGGATGAACAGAGCATGAAAGCAAGTATATGTGAAAGGCGAGAGCAAGAGCTACAGCAAAAACAAAGCAGGGTTTGAGGTAGGAGTGGGGAGATACAGGGTGGGGGGATGAGAAAAGCCTCACTAAGGTAACATTCAGGCTGTGACCAGAACAAGTAGGAGTCAGACCTATACAGGTTTGGAAACAGTGCATCAAGGAGAAGGATGAACTAGGACTGGCAGACAGATTGAGTTCGGCAGAGGGGGCTAGAAGGTAGCTAGTGTGGCTGAGTGGAGCCTGGGAAGACGGAGGAAGGGGAGGAGGAGCACGGCAGGGCTGTAGATCTAGGTTGGAGGTCAAGGTTAGTTATCTGTTCTTCTCATAAAATGTGCACTGCTACAGTACAAAAGGTGTGTATCTCACAGTTTCTGAGGATCAGGACTCCAGGCACAGCTCCCTTGGGTACCTCAGCCATACTCAGGTCTCTCAGGAAGCTGAAGCTGTGGTCTCTGGACCATGGAGGACCTGCTCCCAAGACCAGTACTAGCAGGAGTACTGGAAAGATCCAGTGTGGACTGACAGCCTAAGTTCCTTCCTGTTTGTGGGCCTGGGTGCTCCTTGGTTCTTTCTGGGTGGTCCTCTACATAGGGCAGCTCAGAGCATGGGTATTTGCTCCCCAGCTAGAGATTATGAATAAGAAGAGACAAGGAGGGAAGGCAGGGGAGCAAGAGAAAGTAGGAGGAGGAGAGATGGAAAAGGAGAGAAGGAACCCAGGAGAATGAAAAAGGAAATAGCATTTTTGGTAATTAAATCATGGAAGCTACAATAGAATATTTGTGTCCCCCAAAAGCTGTATTATGAAATCCTAACTACTAGTGGTATTAGGAGGTGGGGACTTTGGGAGGTAATTCAATTATGAGGGTAAAGAATTAGTGCTCTTTTTTAAAAAAATGGACAGGAGAGAGTTCTCTCCTTCTCTTTCAACTGTGAGGATACAGTGAAAATTGGCAGTCTGCAATTCAGAAGAAGGACCTCTCCAAACCTAGAACAAGTTTTTGCCCTGATCTCAGACTTCTAGCCTCCAGAATTGTGGGAACAAGCTTCTGTCATGCATGGGTCACCCTATCTATGCTGCTGAATAGCAGCCCGGAGAAAATGGAATCCCATCAACTTTTGCTGTGTTCTGAAACAAGTCTTTACTGACTCATCATTGCAAGCTGTTGTGGATACCCCCAGTGAGCAGGCCAAGATGAAGCACTTAGGTCTGACTCTAATCCTAATGTTATGATTTATATCTGGATGTCCCCTCAAAGCCTCATGTGCTTATGGGAAGGGGCTTTGGGGAAGTGGATCATGTGGGCACTATACTCACTGGTGGATTAATCCACCGATGAGTTTATAGATAAATATGCCGCTAGGAGGTGGGGTCTGGTCAGAAGAGGGAGGTCACTGGGGGCATGACCTGAAGGCTGTGCCTCCCTTCCTGCTCTTCTTCCTGGCTGCCATGAGGTGAGCTGCATTGCTCTGCCATGCTCCTGTGCCATCCTGTTCTGCCTCGGAGCCAGCCGACTATGGACTGGAATGTAAGATAAAATAAATCTGTCCTTTATGTTTCGGATGTCAGCATTTCATCCCAGCAATAAGAAAGTGACCAAGACACAGTGGAAAGCCAGTGGAAGGTTTTATGCCACAGGGTGACAGCATATGAATTTCCTTTCACAGTTTCACCATCAGTGAAAGACCTAAATACATCCAGGGCCTAGAGGGGAAGTAACTAACTTTTTACACTGGTAGAACCCAGGTGGGTTTAAAGTTGCATTCCATGCTGTGTTCTACCCTTTCTTATAGTTCTTCCAACTCTAAATCTGTGCATTTGTTTACCTGTGACACCAATCCATGGATTTTTAAGTATGGTCTCATGTATACTTGGTGATGTCTCCAGGAAGGCCACTGTTAGTATGACCCCCATTGTGCAGGTTAGGAGACCTGGAAGGCCCTGAGAGGCTATGGGCTGATAAGAAAAAGGAGGCTCCAAAGCAGCTTTGTCTGCTCAAACCTGGGCCCTCGGTGTACTTAGGTCTCTCTTGGTGAAACTGTGTAGGTAGGAGATGACACTGAGAGGTGGGTAAGCAGTTGCAGGTCACAGAGGGTCTTATCCAAGGAAGAGACCTAGGTGATGGGACCTTGAAAACACCATCTCACTTCTTTGGTGGTAGATCCCCAAAGAACTTAGAATTCTGATAACCAGGCTCCCACTTTCCAGATACAGCTTCCCATGCAGCTCGCTTGGCCAAAGATCTTCAAGAGAGCAAAATGTTTTCCTTTTGTAGCCTTATGTTCTGAGGCTCTGACCCCAGGAACGAGTGAAAGCTTTTTCATCACTGCAGAAATTGATTTAGCCCACACTCCTGAAGCTTCCAGCCATTTGGCGTGAGGATTCTGAAGATAACACAGGGCAGCCTGGACAGGTTTATCCAGGCCAGGCCAGAACTGTTATTCTCCCTGGGCAGCCCCTCACTCCAACCTTTCATTGTGTGTGTGTGCGCGTGTGTGTAGATGGGGGATGGCAAGTGATGAGGACTGAGTCCTCCTTAGGTGGAGGAGGTTTTATTATGGCTAGAAGGATGGGAAGTCGAGCACTGGGTGAATTGTACCCCTCTGGATTTCTGTCCTGAGCCCGCAAGCCTTCATCTCATTACTTCTCTCTCCAAAGCCCATGCAGATACTCCTCTGTGCCTGATCTGGGGAGCAGAATTCCAAATGGGGTGTCCCGTGGCAATGGCCAGGCAGACCCCTCACACCTCATAGCCCAGCTTCAGGAAACTGCCTTTTCATAACTCCACTCAGGGGAAGTGAAAAATGAAATGCCAGGCAGGCCTTTAGGGAGTTATTTCTTTGAATCTCTGGTACCTATTTTAAGTGACCCATTCCTAGTACCTGCCTTCTGTGCCGACCATGTGGATGTCTCCTTTCATGTCTGTTTTCCTTGCTGGAGGTAAATTCCATGTGCGGGGGACTATGCCATGTACTGTCCTGGATGAAGCTATAGTGCCTGACACAGAGCAGAGATGGATGGACAGACAGATGACAAGAGACAGAAGTATGCACAAACATAACTTTACTTGGGGCAGGGTGAGGTCACAGGTACAGGCCCTGGATGGTGTCCAAGGAGCGCAGCCAGCTATCTTTCCAGCACTGAGCCTGCTTCACTTGTGTTGCATTGTCATCACGGATCTTCTTCAACTGCTCCTCAAACAGTGCTAAGTATTTCTAAAGGAGAAAGGCAGCAGGAGGAACCAGGGGGGACTCCTGCACTCTACACTCCAGGAACACCATAGCTAGCTGGCAAGCAGTCTGAACCCACTGAAGGACCAGCAAGAGTTCCTGTTAATTTACCTAATAATCCATTGAGTAGATGCTTTTGTTTCCCTCATTTTACAGATGGGAAGATAGAGATTCAGAGACTTGCTTGAGGTCACTTGGCAAGAGAGGGGCTAGGACCATGTCTCTCTGGATCACTCTGCATTGTCCTGAACTTAGTCCTGCAGAGGAGCCTCCGGGAGCTCATGAATCCCGGCGTCCTTCTGAGGCTGAGTCCCTGGCCCCAGCCCTGGTTAAACTCAGTGAGCAGAGCCACTATCTGCCTGGCAACTGGGGAGGTGCCAGCACCAAGCATGTCTGGCTCTCAATCCCAGGACCAGCGAATCTGCAGGCAGGACAGGGCCTTTCTTGGGCACTAGAACTAATGGCCCATGGATCTTTAGAGCTACAAGATCCCTTGACTGGGAGCAAACATTTGGGAGAAGCCTCTGTTGTCAGGCAGACTCATAGGGGTTTAATGGATGGTGGGATCAAATCCAGGCTCTGCTGCTCTGTCATGGCTCAGGAGGACAAATGTATTCATACAACTAGTCCTTGTCAATGAAATGGGGGCCATAATTCTACCTCCTCCTAGGAGGATTCAGTGAGACACCTCATGTTAAAAACAGAAGGTACCGGCAGTGATGGTTAGTGCTTCTCCTATCAAGTCCCCACTGCAAAGCCACTGCTACCATCATCTCCATGCCTGTTTGTCATATTCCTTAGCTCACCCTATGGTCCCTTTGCAAAGACTTTCTTTATGCCCAGTGTGGGTAGGCCTCCCTCAGTGGGCTCCCACACCAGCAGGCTCAAACTTAGACCTATGCTAGCACTGGCACTCCATACAACCCCTGGCTCACATCCTTGTACATACAGACAGCAGTGTTTGTTGTCTGCTCTATAGGATATATGTTAGGGTGCTCAATAGTGAGCAGCTTCCTTCTTCCCGAGGCAGCCATGCCGAGCTGCTCTGTGCTCCCCAGGATACACCTATCCCACCCAGTCTCACCAGGTACATTGCATCTCGGGCTTCCACTGCAGCCAGGTGGCCCAGGGTGGTCTTAGAGGTGGTTATTGAGTGTGTCTTCTGAACAAGAATCTTGTTTTGGATGGTGGTTTCTGTTGGCTTGATTCCCGGCCACTTCCTACAAATACACATTTGGCTTCATTATTCACAACCCGCCTGCCACCCCTGCTGCTAATAAAGCTAAGCAATTATTATGGCTTTAAACAGCTTCAAAAAAAAAGAAAAGGCCCAGCTAAGCACTTAATGTTCCACTTCTTTGAGTTCTCTTTTGTATTTCCAAATGGCTGTATTGGCTGTGTGTGCAGGCTTGGGTTCGGTGTGGGGAAAGGGAATGCCACATCTCAAGTGCTTCCCTTTTCTGGGCCTGTTTCCCCATCAGTCTGCAAGCCAGCTGGCAGTCCTGGCCTGTTTTACTTACTATGCTGTAAAGGTCACTGCTGGGAACATAGCTGAGCAAGTCATTGCTTTCACATTCTTAGAGCACAGGGGACAGACATCACATAGCACATATGACAGATAGATGGAGTGGTTCATAGTGCCACAATGCCACCAGCAAATGTGCCTCTCCCTGGGACAGGCCTCCCTTTCTTGTGGGGTCATTAGAATGAGCTCATCATGTAAACTCATAGTTCCCAAGCTGTTAGTATATGCAGGGTGTGGGTACTCCAGGACAGCCTCCTCTAACTTTTTTTTGTAAATCCATGTGAGGTATATGTACTGCCATGGCTATTTCGTGGATGAGGAAACTGAGGCTCAGAGCACAATGCCTTTCTAAAGTTGCCAGGTCTGTCTGAGATCAGAGACTGAACCCCTAAGTATCCCGTGCCCAGTGACCAGCAGACACAGCCATTTGTTGCTGCTCTGGGCTCTCACCTGCTCCCACGTTCAATCAGAGGCTTCTCAGTCTCTTCCTCCAGGGGGAGCCTGGCCAGTCTCTTCCGTATAAGGATTGACATTTTCTGTTTGGAGGGCTCCATCCCTGATAGGAAAGAGTTGGGTTACTGACTGTGGCTGGGCCCACAGCCTGAAATCAAGGGTTGTCCTTGTGTGACAGCGCTGAGAGGTAGGAGGGCTCACCCCCAGCCTCCTGCTGGGGGTCTTCAGGGGCAGGCAGAGCCCCTCCACTGAGAAGCTGGGGTGCCAGACAGGCAGCTGGGGCAGTGGTGGTAGAGGGGATCACTGCAGAAGTCTGAGGAGAGATCTGGGTGGTTCTCAGCTCCGAATCCCTGAGCTGGATACTCTGATCTTTCCGCAGCTTGTGTGAGTCCCCAAATACACTTTGTAAAATCTTTTTTTTAGCTCATTTGCTTGCTGAATAAAAGCACCCCCTAGAGCAAACATATTCAGGCTTGTTTGTTGAATGTCTGGCTTGCTGACTCAACCTGTAATATGCTTTTGTGACAAGGAGGAGTTTTGTTTGGAGTGAGGGCCAGGAAGGAGGAGCCTCCCTGATTGCATCCTTGTCTGCTGTGGATGGTAGAGCCAGGCGGCTTGGCTGCAAAGCCTGAGATTAGGCAGAGGCCTCCTAGGGTCAGTGCTGGGGATCTTCCTTGCTCAGCAGTTCCATGTAAGGCACCACGATAGGCTTTGCTGCCAGCTCCACTGGTCGTGCATTCCCTAAGAGACTTCTGGTACTGAAAAGTAGCCAACACCTCAACGGTGTGCATGCATTTTGACCCAGAAACTGCAAGCTAAGGGCTTGCTGCCCCTAAATAATGATGTATGGAGGCGGAGATTTTCTTTGATGCAATTACAGGAGTGAAAAGTTGGAAATGGCCCAATGCTCAGCAGCAAGAGATAGTTGGTAAATGACAATGCTTAGTGAATTACAGTGCATATAGCAACAGGACATATCCATAGGACGGCCAGCCCAAGCGTCACACATATCCACAGATCCTGCCCCTACCCCCAACCTGTGCCCCACACATGCAGGCCTGCACCCACTGTGAGGGGACTGGAAGGGCCAAGGCCACTGATTTCTGAGCGGAGGGAATGTGTTTTTCACTTGCTTCTTAGTAACAAACATTTATTGTCTTTGTAATAAAAACTTTAAAAAATAGAATAGATTTTGATTATAAATTAGCAGCAAAACATTGAATATGTGATTATAATCTTATGTTTATAAAAGTAGTATGCTCATTATAAAACATTGAAACATCACTTAATGGTGTGCGTGTGTTGGGAGGAGATTTTAGGAGACTCCCACTACCCCACCCAGCAGTTATCATGAGCAATTTGGTACCTATTCACAAGCTCTTTGTCTCTCAGTCTCTGGCTCTCACACAGATTCATTTAAATATCTGTGAGTATGTATATCAATAGTCTCTATGTTTTTTAAACAGGGTATCATAAACATGTCCTCCTTGGCCTCTTGTCATTTTATATACCATCCTTCCTCATGTCCTTTCACATCAGCGCAGTCAGACCTGCCACTCTGGTTTTAAGAGCTGCACAGTAATCATTGTATATCTTCACCATCTCCTATGTAACCAATCCCTTATGTATGAACATGGATGCTGTTTCCAATTCTTTGCCATTTCAAATAGTGTTGCAACAAATATTTTTGAATATATACCTTGGGAAGAGTGTGCAAGCATTTCTGTTGTATACATGCTTAGAAATAGAACTGCTAGGTCAAAGGCATATCCATGCAGGTTTTGTTTTGTTTTGTTATTGGTGGCACTGGGGCTTAAATCCTGGTCCTCACGTTAAGCTACATCTCCAGCTCTTTTTTATTTTTTGAGATAGGATCATGCTAAGTCACTAAATTGTCTAGGCTTGGCTAGAACTTGTAGTCTTCCTGCCTCACCCTCCCACAGTACTGGGATTCCAGCCATGCACCACCTACATGGCCACATGCAGAATTTTCATGGGGCCTGACAAAGGAGTCTCCAAAAAAGTAGTTATCAGGATGTGGACCTACAAGATACCTGCTAAGGATACCGTAAGGGCCTGTGTTTTCTACATCCTTGGCATGGCTGGTTACTACCAAAATTGAACCCTTGGCAGTCTATTGATGAGAAATGATATCTCAGTAATATTTACATTCACGTTTTCCATCATCGGTGAGGTGAAGCATCTTTTAGTCACTGGCCACAGAACCGCTTCTCCTTTGAATTACATGAGTTTATTTCTTGTCTCCTTTTTAAAAATGTGCCTGGTGAGAGTTCCTTGTACCACAGAGAGAGTAACCTTTTCTCTGATTCATAAGTTGTGAGGAATATGTTTCCAATTTGTGATTTATTTTCTCATAGTTGACATTTTTCTGTTTTTGTTTTGGCCTCAGAGAAGTGCCAGTCATTTATCTCATGGTTTCTGGCTTTCATGCCATACTTAGAAAAGTTGGCCCTAACCCCAAAGCATATGTAAATATTTACTGTTAGGATTTCATTTATTTACATATAATCTTTGATCCATCTAGCATTTGCCTTTTTAATAAAAATTATTCTTAATGAAAACAAAGTCTCTTCAGTGGAGAAACTGTTTTTACCGTGGTGGAGTTGCAGAAAAGTAAATACTCTTACCCCCTGCAAGCCTCTCCTGACAGCCTGGGACCAGAACACAGGCCTGGTGCACTTACTTGCAACCTGGATGTCGTCCACGGTAACCACTTCATCCAGCTGAAACAGAAGCTTCTCGGTGAAAGTGGCCAAGCTGGTGATGAAAAAGTGGCTGTAGTTCCTGGCAAATTCCTGGAGGAAAGGGGCAAGCATGGCATTGGGGGGAGAGCTTCCCTCCAAGGCCAGAAGAGGGAGAGCTGGGTTGGTACTGTAGGGAGGATGTGGGGACTCTTCTGGTGAGCTGAGCCCAAAGCCATGGTGCCAGTCGCCTCAGAGCTATTGGTCCTCAGAGTCAGAGACCTCTCTCAAGAGCTGATTTAGTTTGAGGATAAGGAATGATTTAGAAATGGCCAAGGAACACACACACATTTCACTGAAGAGGAAATAAAATTCGATGTGGGTCAGGAAAAAAATTTAATAGCTAATTTTGTAAACAATTTAGAAATCAAAGACATGCAAAGTAAAACACCCAATAATGACATTTCACCTACAAAACCTACCCACTTTCATTTCTGCTTTGGTCCAGGTGCCAACCAAAGGCCATGCTTTGCCAGTGGCTGCCCAAAAGAGCCATCTTTCTTCAGGGCAGTGTGCCCCTCAGAACCCAGACTAGGAGTCCACGGCACTACTGACCTCCAACCTTTCCCTGATCATCTTGATCACATGGTTCAGCTCGTCTTGTCTTTTCTTTTCTGAAGCATGTAAAGACTTCATTTGCTGGAAATTTTGGGGATGTCCAAGATTTGGGTGGAGCTTCTGGGCATTCTGATCCTTCAAATAAAATAATCCAGAATTCAGCAGGGATTATTGCTGCTGAATTCTGCAGCAGATGTGAGGTCAACATCAGAATGTCCCTGGTCTATGTATGGCCACACAAATGTGTCTTATGACCTGGGTGTGTGAAGGGCCATGGGTGGGCAGAAGAACGAGTGGCAGAGAGGACAAGATGGAGGGATGGCTACAGCCAGCTCTGAGGGCTGCAGAGAAAATGAGATGAGCATCTTGCTCAGAACAACCGGGGCTTTAGTCCAATAAAATCAGCATCAACTATGTCCCGTGACTCCAGTGTAAACAGTCATTGCTGATTGTAATGACCATGGGTCCACCAAACCCAATAGACCCTCCCACTGAATCCAACCAAGTTTACTGAATGTCTGTTATGAGAAATTGTTAGTTCATCGATGCCTTCTGTCTCAGTCCCCATCTGATAATCTCAAACCCAGTTCATCTCCTTCTCTTGGATTTAGCTGTTCATGACTTGCCTCCATTCTGAACTCCCAGTAACCCTAAATCCTGGAGTGGAGCTGTCCAGTCTTGGATCCCTCACCTTCCTTCTCTCCAGCTGCTTCTGCTGCTCCTCAAATTCTGCCTGCATATCTTTCATGGTGGTGCAAAACTTTCGCCAGTGTTGATCCTTAAAATTCTCTGTCACCAGCCAACATACCTGGGGCAGCAGCTCCTCAAATCTCTTCACCTGGACTCGCAATTCTGCAAGAGTTGAGGGTAGGGGCCACAGAAAAAGACAGAATGAAACCAAGTTGCTGAAATGACCTCTCCAACAAAGGTCCACAGCAGTTTCCCAAAGGGAAACCACATGGTGATAGGGATTCCATCAAAAGAGTCCTGTAGTCAAGCCAATGTAGAGAATACTAGTTACACAAGTTCAAAGGATCTGTCCTCCATATACTCTGATGCCTTTTCAATTCATTTAAAATGCATCATGTTTTGCAGAGGTTTTGGCAAGTTCTCTATCACCTCTTAGAATATGACCTTGATCTAGCCTCTACTCTCCTTCTGTATCTCTAATAGCCGTATGTTAGACCTACTCTTTCATTCACATCTGTTCACTTCTCTCACATTCTGTGTTGCAGTCTGGATATTTTCTTTGGCTCTACCTTCCAGATCACCCATGTCATCTTCAGCTATGGATAGTTATCCATAGTAAAGCCATTCCTAAAGCTTTAAATTTTGAAGTTTTGATCTCACCTTTTTAGACCTGTGTTAGTTACTTTTCTCTAGTTGCTGAGACAGAATACCAGCACTAAAAGTTTAAGAGGAAAGGGCTTATTTAGTTCACAGGTTGTAGAAGTTTCAGTACATAATCAGCTGGCTCCAAAGCAAGGCAGCTTGGCAAAGGGGAATCACAGAGAACAGTTCATGGCAGGCAGACAGTAGTAAAGCAACAAGAAAGCCTAACAGTGTCTTTCCACTCCCTTTATCATATTCAGACTACTGAAATTAGGGTGGTACTAAGCCAATCACTCATGTATAGTTGGTTAGTGATGAACACCCTTAATCCTAGCATCACACACTAGATTCACCCACCTATGACCACATGAGTCTTTGTGGGGGGCATCTAGACCCAAATCATAACAGAGTTTTATTTATTCTCCTTTGTATCTACTTTGTCATTTTAATAATCTTTTGCTCCTTTTACTCACATTTCCATTTCCCTCTTTATTTAACTATTATAAGTATTTTATATTGCATATGATAGTTTCAACATCTGTGCTTCTTGCTTAAGGTGCTTTGTTTCCCTGTGTTTGCATGGGTTTTGTTATTGCTTGTTCATTATGGTGAACTCTGATTCTGGGAATTTTATTTGTGGGAATCCTCTGAGGTCTAAGTTGAAGGTGGAATTTCAAGAGAAGATTTTAAGGAGTCTCTAACAAGCAAGTTTTGCTACAACTCAAGATCATTTTAAACTAAAGTATCAGTCTGAGAGCATTTGGACAATCCACAAAAACAAAATTGATTCATATTTAAATAAATGTGAATTCAGGTTTAGCAACAATGTAAGAGATGACTCATAGTTCTGGATTTCCATTGGAGTTTTTTTTCCCCTTTACCTAGTACCAAAGGTTTTGTTTTGTTTTGTTTAAATATAAGACAGTCTCCTTGTTTTTAAAAGGAAGAGCTTTATATCTCCTTCACTTTACTCTGTGGGTGGAGCCTGTGAGGTTCCAACTTTATATTGAAATTTCTACTTTGGGTAGAGTCAGCAAATGCACAAAGGGAAGTAACTAATTTATCATCCAGCGGTCCTGTTTTCACCCATGTTTTGTCTTTTGTTATGTAGAAAATAACTAGCTCACCCATGCATTTAAAAATGTTATACTGAAAATATTTTATCCAGCATTTTATGTATTTTCAGTAGTGAGGACAATGGCCTGCCAAACTAAAGATGCAAGTCTTCTCTCACAGAGAATTATGAATCTGCCAGAAAGAGACCTTATCTGTAGCACTTTCCAAACCATTTGACCACAAGACCTTTGTTTTGAGGTTAGTTATGTAGGACAGGGTCTCTCAGAGCTCAGTTGGAGAAAAGTCTAAGCTAGAGATATAAACACCATAGCTTCAGCTCTACTCATTCTACAACCACAGCAATGAGAGCTACTGTTGACCATTCATTCCTTGTGCATGCAAATCCATCCAGGGGACTAATCCTCATAAAAGCTTTCCATGGTGGATGTTGTTACTGTCTCCCATTTATAGACAAGGAGATTGAGGCTCAGGGAAGTGAGCACATGGCAAAGTTATACTTCTGGCCCCACATTTGACTTTCCCCAATCCCTCCCTCCTTTTCCCCAGGCTGCCTCTGAAATGACAGAGCAGAGCACAGCAATGTAGTAGGTGAGCACCATTGAATATTATTCAGGAGTGACATACTGACACAATCTACAACATGCATAAACCTTGAAAACATTAGGCGATGTCTGAAAAAGTCACAATAAAACCCATTATTTTGTGCTAATAAAAAAATAAAAGATGGTTCTTAGCAAATTGATCTAATATGGATGGAATTTAGAGTTGCATGTGCTCAACAGCATTTTGATTGTTATCTATTTTTACTGTCTGTGAGCAAAAATTGAATGAAAAACTTATAAATGTCTACACCCTAAGCAAAATGAATAGAAAAGACAAAGAAATATTTTGAAAGCCCACTTGCTATGGTTTGGATAAGTATCAATGTGTTGAAGGCCTGGTCTCTGGTTGTGGCACTGCCAGGAAGTGGTAGAACCTTTGAGGTGAGTCCTAGTGGGAGGAAGTCCAGTCATTGGTTTGTGATCTTAAAAGGGATCTTGGGCCTCTGGTCCCTTCCTGTTTTTCTCTGCCTCCTGGCCACCATGAGAAGAACAGCTTTCTCTGCCAGTTGCTCTCACTGTGATGTGCCTCCCACTACAGGCCTAAAAGCAATGGACTGAAACCCCTAAAACCATGAGCCATAAAAAGCTTTTCTTCTTTGAAAAAAATTATGCAAAATTATAAAAGGCCTTGTGAGTACATTCACCTGATAGTATAAAATAAGGAAAACCATAGAGTCATTGAGTGGATTGTTGGCAGTTTAGGGCTGGGAGGGGCTGAGGTGATGAAGGTTTTAAGACAATGATGATGACTGAAACACTGTAAATAGACCAAAAAATTCTGGAGTGTGTATTACACATGTGAATTGTATGACAAGAAAATATTTCCATAGAGTTCTCAAGAATAACTATGGAAGGAACAAAGTGTTTTCAGTGGTACAAATCACTACATTTCTCAAGGAAAATAAACTTTTCTTTTTTGCATTGTTTTTCTCCAGTTAACTCTAACCATGGCTTTTAACTAATCCTAAGAGATCATTTTTTCACAGGGAGGTTCTGGTGCCTCCTAGTGATCTCAAGTAAAGAGAGGTCAAGGGCAAGCACTATTCTTGGGTTTGTGCCCCACCTGGGTCCTGGGTCCCACCTGGCAGCCTGCCAAACACACATACCCATGAGGCAGGAGTTGTGGTACTCATCTGTCTGGCTCCGGTACTCTAGGATCTTCTTACTGATGTGCTCAGTACACTGGTCCAAAGTCTCATACATGCAGTCAGGCCTGGTGACTGGGTGCTTCTCTTTTCGGTAAAAATCCTGCCACAGAGGAATGATCATGCTTGGTTGAGGACCCTACTTAGGAGACTGTAGCCTTGGCTCCTGTATCCATCCACCTACCCTCATCACCATACCTTCGAGTCTTTGCTCATGTTCCCCCTCTCTTCTTATACCTCCTGTCTCCTAGACAGAGCTCACCTACTGTGACTCGGGGCCATAGTGAGTCTTCGTTCCTTGTTGAGTGAGTGACAAATCCTATTTCTCTTTCAAGATCCAAATCAATGGAATCTCAAACTGTGACCAGGTTGGGAGCCTACCAGGAAGCACCATGTTGGGCATAGGCCATAGGCCACAAAGATGGACACAGGTGCCCAGGTCTGAGGAAGGTAGTAGAAGGCACCAGTACTGTGTATGGTATGCTGGAGCTTGGTGCTGCCAGGGGCCACTCCCACAGCCCCACTAGTCTCCCTGTGCTTCCACCATGACCATTGGTCTCCTGGCTAGGTTTTGGGCTCTTTGGAGACAGAGGACAGGTTTGTTCCTCTTGGCACATCCAGTACTTGATATGCAGATGATGTCCAAGTTATGTTTGGGGACTGCCTAAATGCATAATTAAATACTGAATGAATGAGTTTGGGTTTCTAGAAAGAGAAAAGGCACAGAAGGTGACAGAAGCTAGGGAGGTCATGAAGAAGGTGAAATCTCTTGTCATTTACTCCCAAGTAACCATGATTGATGACTGCAGCTGGCATGTGCTCCAGGGTGGGTTAGGTCCATGGGAAGTGGATCTTACCTCTGCAACAGACAGCATGTGCTCACTGCTTTCCCATAGGAGGGTCAGGATGATTCCTTTAAAGTCCCTGCAATACACAGGATCCCTGATGGACCTTGTCTAAATATGCCAACATGGACACAATCATACAGAACTTCTAAGTACTTTGGATGGGGCCTGTCATCCTTCATAATTACTTATTACTGCCCCAGGTCTGTGCACACTCTGATTCCTCTCCAAAAAGAGGCTGCAAACTTTCTTTTTGGTCACATTTGGATCTCAGCTCAGTGCTAATTCCCAGATACCTAATACTTCCAGAATGCTCCTCAGCCCTATAACCCTTTAACCACACAGATTTGGGATTACTTTTTTTAATCATAATCACTATCCATCTCTTTACACTGATTGTTAACTCCTCCAGGTGTTTAAAATATGAATTGGGAGCTCATTAGGCTGAAACAGCTCTACTACCTAGAGTTCCTACATAAACTGAAGGGAGCAATCTTGGAAGGAATGTTATGGTCTAGGAAAACAACATTTAAGCTTAACTGATCAGAAATAGCCAGCAAACTCCTAACTAGAGACTTACCACTTTAGCTAATCCAAGTTTTTCTTTGTCCTACTTCTGCAAACTCCTTGTAAAAGTTTTTCCTGGTACTGTATTCCTTGTGGAAGCCTAAACCACTTACCATCTGACACTGACTGGTTCATGAACTGCTGTCTGCTCAAAAAAACTTGTTAAGACTTTAGTTGTGTCTGAGTTTACACAGGATGTGGATTATGTGTGTCTGCTGTTGCTCACCATGCAATCTCCAGCCAAGTGCAGGGCCTGCACCTGTCAGTGCTGCAGTAGTGGTTGAATGAAGAAAAAAAGGATGGCTTATAAAACAGTGATCAAATGAGCAGGACTTCCTGTAGAAGCAAACATCCTCCTGCTCGCTCTGGCCCTGGGGCCCATGGTGCACACTTCGGGGAAATGTAAGCAAATTTCTACAGACCCAGTGGATATTCCTGCCCAGTTAGGTCAAACATTTTGAAATCAAGAATGAGATAAAGTACAGAAGAACTCAAACTGCACATAGCATCAGTAATATTTCACTCTCTGTATAAAGTTTCATAGTGACTGCTGTACATATATTGCCAAATTGCTTTCTTGCCAACATGCCATTGACTCCTGACTCTCAGTGAAAGGGCAGGACCATCCAACACCCACCCACAAAATTCCATGTTAATGTCAGGCGAAATATGGAAGGGACCTGCTACTCCTCTTCCATTTCTTTGTATCTCACTGAGGGTGGGCATTTCCCTCTCATGATTATCTCCACTTGTGTTTCCTCCATTGTGCATGTTCGATTTAAACCTCTTCTTGCCCCTACTGAATTCTCTTGCTAAACGTTTCTTTAGCAAGTAACCTGGGGGTAGAGGAAAGGCTAATGTATTTATTTGCCTTTTTTCCCTACAAGTTTCCCATATTTTAAGATTTCTACTAGTGCTTCTCAGGGTGACTGACCCGTGTTACTGAAGGGAATGCAGTTTGAGACCCATGGGAACTCACTGATTCTTTTCTACAACTATAAGGGAAGGGTTCTCTTCTATCCATCACACAGATGGAAAGACTGAGGGTTGGGGAGAAGTCTTTTGGCCAAGGTCCAATGATATAGATAGGATTAGTCTAATTCTCTTTTCTGAGCAATTAACCACTGCACTATGTCAGGACAGTATCTCCTTTCAGAGATTTAATAAATGCTTGATTCATTTTTTTCTATTTAGCCTATGGATTTTTTTTTTAAAGTTACTAAGAAACTGTGGTCATTCCTATTATGAAATCTATTTGGTCATTTGGTCACACAAAGGGATACACTACTGACACATGTGACAATTTGGATGGATCTTGTTATGATTTGAATGTGTCTTCAGGGTTCATATGTTAGAAACTTAATCCCCAGTGCAAAGTGTTGAGAGGTGGACCTTTAAGAGGAATGGGTCCCTGATAGAAGGATGAGTTTAGCTCTCTTCCTTTCCCTCTCCTTCACTCCCATTACCCTCTGCTCTCTGTCTCTCTCTCTGTCTCTGTCTCTTTCTGTCTCTCTCTGTCTCTCCCTCTCCCTCTGCTCTGTGATGCTCTGCTTCAAGAAGGTCCTCACCAGGTGCTGGTGCCTTGAACTTGCATTTCCCAATCTCCAGCACTGTAAAGTAAATCTTAGCTCTTTGTAAATTGTCCAGTCTCAGGTATTCTGTTATAGCAGCACAGATGGACTACAATAGGTCTCAAGGTCATTATGCTGAGTAAAAAGAAGCTACTTTGAATAATGGTCAAATGCTGCAGGAGTCCATTTGTATAATATTCTCCAAGTGACAAAATTATAGGGATGGAAAGCAGATTCTTGGCTGCTTAGGTTTGGGAGTGGCATACAAATGGGTAACAAGAGGAAGATTTTTTTCAGAGATGGAACAGTTCTGCATCTTGACTGTGGTGGTGATGTCAGGAGTCTACATGTAATAAAGTGACAGAACTACAGACAACTGAGAGTCGAGGTCTTCATGGTGCTGAATGTCTTTGGTGGGTGGGCTGAGGGTGGGGCTAGCTGATGACTTGCAGAAGACAATTCCTGGGCCACGTGGTAGAGCAGCTGTGCACAGGAGGACACAGTTCCCAGCTCCAGAGATCAGACCCTGGACAAAAAGGCTGACAAGAGGAGGTCCTATTTCTAGGGTTCCTGGTTAGGTGGAATGGGGACCCCACTTTGGAGCTTGACTTTCTCCAACGTTCCTAATTTTCTGAACTTGATTTTGCTGGTTTGACTGAAATGATGCTATACAAAGCAAACCAGGTTTTGTTTTAATTACTGAGAAGTGATAATATAAAGGAAAATAGAAATGAGGGTGGGAAGGAAAGCACTGAAAAAATTACAAAAAACCCCAAATTTCAGAAGTATCTGCTGCCCTGCCACCAATGAAATGCTTGAAAAATATGAAATTTTGGTGAAAGTGTCTCAAATTTACAGGGAATGGGCGAAGACAAACTGACCTTGACCCTTTACTGTTCCCTGCTCTTTTCTTTATTGAGCTCTCATCCCCTTTCCCTTTCTTTTCCTCTCAACAGAGTCAGATCCACCCCACCCCACCACACTGAAACAATGCAGTTAAAGGGAACTCTGTCATCAACTTACTCAGCCGGAGGAGGAGACTTATCCCCAAGCACCTGGTACTTTCTTTCCATTTTGATGAGTTTGGAATGCCGTGCAAGGCTGTGGACAAATATGTGTCAGTGCTCTGCCGTCTGGAGACAGAAGAAAGGCAGGTCTGTGCTTGTCTAAGCCCAGCCTGGAAAGTTGGAGGATGCTGCCTGCCTCTTCAACAACTCTGGAGACAACTACAACTTGGGGTGAATCCTTTACTGCTAATGTCCAACCAAGGCCACTGAGAGCAAAGGGCAGAGGGGCTCAGGACCTGGAAATGTGCACTCTCCCTTAGTTGTGGTGAGGACCCAAAGAAAAGCAGGTTGAGCCACAGGCAGTGTCACTAGGGTTAGAAAATAAAGACGTGGTATGCCGTTTAAACCTAAATTTCATATAAGCAATGAGTACTTTTTACTCAGTACTTTAAGTATATCCTATGCAATATTTGGGATGTACTTATATTACAAAATTAAGTGTTATTGATCTGATGTAAATTGAGCCGGGTACCTGTGGCAGCCCTAGTGACACGCATCAGGATAGTCATCTAGAGGTTGAATACAGAAACAAACAATGGCTGGGTCACCTATGAGCAAACAGAACTCTGAGCCACTATCTGCAGCACCCTGCCCAGGACTCTGGCCCCCTTGCTATGATTAGTAGCCAGAGCCAGCCTGCTGGGAGTCAAACTTGCAGGAAGTCAGATTGTTATTGCTAGTGATAGGCCAGGGAGCTAACCAAAATCCCTATAATAATAGACCTCAAATTGCCAGGACTTGATTAATAAAGGACAACTCTCCCAATATTTGTCCCTATTTCTAATTTAGGATCAACCAGAGAAAACCGGATGTGCACCCTAACCAACCCCACAGGACACCCCACTTTTAGCTGGTTGGCTCCCACCAGCTCCCCTTTTCCACTCTAAGGTTCCTGCTTCCCAGTCTGCTCTTGGATCCACCAAGCTGGTAGCCTACTCCCACCCTAGTGGTGGCTGACTGCCTCCTACAGTAATAGCCTTTGCATCACAGATTAGGTTGGTTTTTGTTCCTCTTCACATTGCACATGGCACGCAGGTTCAAAAAGACCTTTAGCAGGTAAGGCAGAGCAGGGCTCCTCTCGCTTTCTCAAAAGCAGGTATTAAGACATGTCAGCCAGGGCTTATAAAAGTTCCAGGAAGTTGACATGACCACATGACTTCTGTTATCCAACTGCCATAACGCCTTCATGTGGGGGCTGGTAACCAGAGCCTCCAGTCTAATGACCCATACAAGGCTCAGCTGTCAGAGCAAATAACCAGGGATCCAAAGCCCAGGACTCTTGCACCTCTGTGGTGATGCCCCAGGAACATCAGCTCTGTGACTCCAAATGTTCCCCCTTTTAACCATGAGCATGCATAGGGGGTGGTGGCAGGGCCATGGTACCCCTGCCATGTCATGGGCAACCACCCAACTCTCAAGCACCTCCCCAGATGGGAGATGTATGTGGGTCACATCCCTCCCTAGGATGAGCTCAAACATGACCAAAGCCATCATCAGATCAGCCCCTCTTGCACCGGATGCCAATTGAATCCCAGAGCACAAGAACAGGTGGGGCATTCTCAGTCATCTCCGGCCTTTGTTTGGGGAGACAGGCTTGGGGTCTGAGAAGATTCCTACCTTGCTGCTGAGGTAGAACTGGTACTAGGCAAGGCCTTCCTCATAGGGCTTTCTGCCCGGCAATGATGTCGCTTCAAAACTTTGTATGATGAGTGCACAGGATGAGATTAGAGGATAGGATGTAAGGATGGGCCACAACTGTCCAGCTTCCCCACCACCAGCTACTCCAAACCCAAGTCTGCCTGCCTCTACCTGTGTGTGTCTGGTCTTTGTCACACTGGTGAGGTGATCTTGTATTGGGAAATCTAAAACAAAAGAAAAAAGTGTGAGTTTTTCTATAGTCACCATGAGAGATCATTAGGACAGGTCAGGTTGGCCCAGGCAGTGGCTCAGTGAGTCCTCAATACCACCTGTATAGGTCCTATCATAAGCTCAGGTTCAAAAAGAGCCAATGCTCTGAGAGGGGTAGCCCTTTGTCCAAGGTCACTGGCTCCCAGGGGTGGGCTCCTATGGGAGCCCCAGTATGCAGGACCCCAAAACCAGCCTTTGAAGGCACTCACTGCAGGATCTTCTTGACCACCTCCACAGCAGGGTCTTCAATCAATGGCCTCCCCATGCGGGATGGCTGTGCAAAGGACTCAGGGTTGACTAGGCCCATCTTGGCCTCCTCCTCGAGGGTCCCAGAAGACATCTTATTGTCACTCTCTACCTCCGGATCAGTCAGGGCATTATCCTGAGGGCCAGAGAGAAGGGTCGAGTGTGTGGGGCCAGGTGCCAGAGGCTGCAAGCTGGCTCACACTTCATGGTTACCCTGTTCAAGCAGTGGTTGGTGGCAAGCCTGGCCTCTTGGAGCTTTCGTTTTCTCTGCTATAAAATGGTAGTGCTCTTATATCTCTTAGAAGTTTTTCACTCATTCATTCATGCCTTTCCTGAGGGCCTACTCTCCACAAGGACACAAAGGTGGAAAGGCCACATGAGGTCCCTGTTCTCATGGAGCTTGCAACCTAAAGAGACATTTATGCACATTTACACAAATAAATGCTTGGTCCAAATTGGGACAGTGTTATGAGGGAAACGTTCTATCACCTTCAGTGAGATTGAAGTGAGACCCACAGGACTGCCTTCAGAGGTGCCTAGGTGGTGCTTCTGACCAAACGGATGAGGGGTGAAGGCTGAGTGGCTGATGGTCCCGTGACAGACCTTAGAGAAAGGCCACTTAGTTGAACTGGCCCCCGTTTTATTCTGAGTATTATCTCCTGCCAGCCTTTGAAAGAAGAACCTAGGCTAGACCATAGGAGCCGCTGTTTCCCAGGGTGCAGTACATGAGGCAGATGGGTGGCTAGAACAGGCAGCTTGGTGGGGTAGCCTCCCTGAAGAAGGAAGGGCAGCCAGAGCTGGACAGTGACAGCACAGCCCGCAGTGGCCAGCTCTCAGGCCCTCCTTGGGAGTAGCTGAGCATCTCATGTGGGCAAAGCCCGGTGTGAGGACTGAGCAGGGGCAAAAGTGGCACAGGCTCTGCCCTTGCAGGGCTCACAGTCTAGGGCTGGACAGACCTTTAAGTGGAGACCTCACCATGTGGTCTGAGGGCTTGATGAGGAAGTGGGAAGTGCTCTGGGGCTAGGACATCCATACACAGAGCACACGGTAAAAGAAGGCTTGGTGAAAGTTATGTCACGGGGAGAAGAGAGTTGAAAGGGCCACTGACAAAAGACCATAGAAGCTTCTGTGTGTGACTGGTTAAAAGGGTTTTTACTTGATCTTGAGCGCAAGGGAATGATTTAGTTATTTGGGCATTTTTCAATGTTTGGTCTAGCTCCACCTCCAGGGAATGGACCACAAGGAATAGGAGAGGACACAGATAGCCAGATAGGCAAGACACAGGGGCTTGGAAGAAATGGAGAAGTAGGAAGGGAGAGCTGTTGGCTGCTCATGGGTACAGGTGGAAACGATGAGGCTGAGCTGGGGCTGGATCTGGTCTGAGATCTTGTGCATGGGCTGACCTGAAGGCCCTGATGCAGATGAGGTGGTAGTTCTAGGAGGGTGACAGGACTTCTAAGAGACCAGTGCAGGGAGGTGGATCACTTGGGACCTCATCTGACTCCACAGCTGTGATCTTTCCATGGCATCTGAGGAGATCTGGTGTCCAGTAGAGGCCTTGGAACCTACTCTTCCCTTAGGCTGTACTGAGGCCAGCAGGTCTCCTGGGAGCTCAGACAATAACTTGCCCACCCTTTCCCCTCCCTACCCCATTCCTTACCCTATAGACCTCTTGAGTCACAGGTACCATATCCAGGCTGCAATTGAGGTACTTAATCCTCTGGTTCAGTTTTTCTTTCCAAGTTCTGACACAGCCCAGGAGGTCTTCTGTGGTCACCACCTAGTAGGAACATGGAAGAAGAAAGCCCCAAGGAAGTAAGCCTGTGGAGGGCAGCCAGGATCCACTAAACTGTACAACAGGGCCTGGTCTGGTAAGGTTGCCTCTTGGGTACAGGAGGGCCCCGAGGGAGTGGGGGATGCTGGTCTGGTTCTCTCAGGCAGCTGCAGTGGAGCTATGACTCCTTCGCTGACCAGGGCATGGAGAGTTCTGTTCTTGATTTTATGAATTCAACTCTGAGCAAGTGACATAAATTTGCTTGACTCAGTCTCTTCATCTATAAGATGGAAACATGGAATGTTTTCCAGGATCTCCTTCAGCTCTATTATTGTGTGTTTAGAAGGAAACATTTGGTGCAGATGTGTACGAGTGTGTAGCAGGGTAGACTGCCTATTGCCATCCACAGATGCACAAGGACACCCCCTTGCATTTTCACCCTCACCACACATCCAAGGCATTGTTACTGTCTCCTAACCACTACCCTGAAGACTGTAAACCAGTCTCCTCCAGCAACACAGGAACACCCCGCACACCCCGCACACCCAAGCTCACACTATCTCCACCTGCCCAGGAGGCTGCACAAGCAACTGGAATCCACCCAACACTTCGATGGAGAGGACAGATCAGGTTTGGGAGAGGAGGGAATGGAATGGTTCAGTTCCAGAGAGGCAGAGCCTGCCCTAAAGGACTTGTTGAAAGATCACAGTGGGTTAACCAGTTTTATCTAGTCTTCAGCAGGTGGGCTCATAAAGGAGACCAGGTAAGCCATTGGCAAACTATAGGAACCACCTTTTCTCTGCACATCCATGCGGACATGCAATCAACTCAGCAGATGCAGAGAAATGTGCAGAAATGTGCACAACAGATTTGAGAGCAGAAAATAAGACTAGAGGGATGTTTATTCTTCATTCTATGTTTTGTGGGTGCTACTTTCCTCAAGAATCATGCATTATTACATAAGAATTGCCAATAAAGAAAGAAAAGTAAATGTCATTGTTAACAAAAGTGGAACTGAAGCTCTTCGTCTACTGAGATGGACAAGAAAAAGGCGGAACAGGGTGAGCCAAAGCCTCCCATGTGGGACCCTCGGGCTGGACCTTCTGGTTCTGCAGACACCTGGCTGGGCTGCAAAGGTAAGGTTCCTTGTGTGGCTAGGGCACATGTGGAACAGCAGGGACAGAGATGTGCACTCCTGGCAGGAGAACAAGCTGGTAGGTATCTAGAGGCCTGCTCTGCTGATCAGGGATCTGGGGACATTTAGAACCACATTCCAGCCAAGATTTTCTCTAATTCTGACTTTTCATGGCTTGGACACAAAAAAGCAATTAATGAGTGGTGATCAAAAGAAGCAAGTGATAAATCAAACAAGAAGTGGCTGTTGGGAGGGCGGAGCCCTGATTCTTCAGTCATCCGGGGCTGAATTCTCAGTCTAGCAAGGGATTCCTAGTGACATCACAGCAGGACAAGGCCCAGCAAGCTGGGCATAGGGCCCCACCTCACTGGACCCCAAATGCTTCCCTGGGTTTAAGGGGATAGTGAGGTAGCTGCTTTCTCTTTTATTCTTTCCTTCACTCTGCTGAGTAAAACAGGGTGCAAATAAGTAGGAGAACTCAGGGACACACCAGCCTCCATATGTGCTAGAGAAATCCTGCACCCAGACATAAGTTTATGGAGCTGACACGATACATCTTGACTACTCGCATACAGAATCTAGAGAACACTCACTCTCTTATCTCCTCTTGGGTCTCTACAAGCTTCTATCTTGCGTTGAAGCTCTTCCAGAGAAGAATTTAATCCTTCTGTCTGCAAGTTGGATTTTGCCACCTAGAAAACCAGAGGTCCTGAAATTTTGTTTCTAGAATACATATTGTCCAGCAAAACATCAAAGAAATTAAGTAGTGAAAAAATGAAATCGGGATAAAATATACCGTTATACCAGAAAATAGATCAATACAAAAAAATTTTTAAATTACTATAAAATATTATAGTATTTTACTATAGTATTTTACTGTAAATTAGGTCTCTATTTTATAGACTTTTAAAATATTTTCCTTATTAATATCTACTTGTATTACACTGAAAACAATTTTTATTTAAAAGTAGATCTGATTTAAATTAAACTGCCTGCCCCCACCCCGTTCAAGTGTGTAATAACTACCAGCAGACATCAAGGACTTTGACATTTCCAACAGGCTATATTTGGAGAGTTTTTTTAAAGCTTACATTATTTTAAAAATTAAAAATCTTTTTATTGCATAATCAAACACAAAAATATGTAAAGTATTTAAATATTTGCCTGCTCCGACCACGGTGGCAACTCTCAAGAGGCAATGGGGACACAGGCAGAGTGGCTGGGCAAGTGCACTCACAGAATTGAGCATTTCCAGAAGGGAAACCCACCCAGGGTTCCCCAAAAGGAATGCTTGAGAAAGCAACAACACATCCAGGAGAGGGAAGCCATCCAAAGAGTATTTATTTGTTTATTTGGTTTGTTTTGTTTTGTGAGGGTGTTTGTTTGTTTGTTTGTTTTACAAAACTGGGGATTGAATTTAGGGTCTTCACACTGAGCCATGTCCTCATACTTTTTTATTTTTTGAGACAGGGTCTTGCTTAGTTGCTAAGTTGCCCAGCTGGGATCAAACTTGCAATTCTCCTGCCTCAACCTACTGGAATGTGCCACCAGGTGTGGCTCCAAAGAGTGTTTCTAAAGGATTTTAAAAATGTATACAGTTTATAACATTGTATAAATAGCAAGAGGTCAATTCAAACATTCCCCAGCTTCTCACATATAGAAAGAATCTTAACAATAAATCAAATCTTGAACAGGCATTATGACTATATGTGGTAGAATCATGAATTAGTATCTCTTTTTTATCTTTTCCATCTTTTTGATATTATCCATTATGGAAATGGATTTTGCTTATGATACTTGTCACTGAAAATGCAGCCCCTGAATAGCTAGAGGCCCGTAGGGAATGTGCTCCTTGAATAGGGCGGGAGTGCAGTGCCCTGAGGGCCCTGCTCCCTAAAGTGCTCCTCCTCCTCCTTCTGGAATGGGAACCTCCACCAAAGCCTGCCCCCACGGAGCCCTCACTATGCACCAGGGCCCATGCCAAGAGCTTAGCATGCATTAATGCTCATTTAGCTCATTTATAGGTGTCACAATCTTACAAGTTCCTTGTGTGACTCCCATTTTACTGACAGGTGAATTAAGTGCTCCTGGAGTGACAGGGGCAGGAGGCAGGGACTGAGTCCTATCTCAGAGTCCAAGACCTCAGCAAACTTCTTTTATAGGAAGGCACCTCCAACTCTTGGGAGACAGGCCCATCCTCCTCAGCTTGCCTATTCCAGCCCCAGTGGGTCCTTGAACACTTTCCCAGAAGGATATGCTGCTCTCAGTGGCTCTTCCTTACCCAGGCTGCTATTCTCTCAGTTTCACATCCCAGCCTTGCTCTCACTCATTGCCAGCTGTCCTGAGGGCCCTCTTCCAATGTGGCCCTAAGCACCCAGCCCTGTCTGAACCCTCCCTGTTCCCACCGCCTGATCAAGACCCTGTAGAACTCTTCACCTTTGCTCCCTCAGCTCCTCCAGTCCCTCTCACTCTCCCTGCTCTTGGCACCTGCACCTTGGGAAATTTGTTTCTCCTCAATTGCGGGTTAAATCTTCTTCTCTACACACCCACATGTCCTGACACCCCTTCTCCTTTGGGCTCAGATGGCCTGTTCATGGTTATCTTTGGTGACAATCAGAACTGGGTCTACATTCCAATTCCATCAGTTAAGAACTCTGTTCCTGCCTAAATCAGTGAATTATTCTCTGCTTTGGTTTCTTCATCTCTAAAATGGGGCTAAAACCATGCTTGCCTCATATAGTTCTTGTGAGGACTACTGCAGCCAGTTAGCCAGATGCATGGTGTGCAATGACATGGTGAATGCAAGAGCTGTTAAGAGTTACTTGTCTTCCCCAGCTGCAGAGGAAGTCCTGTGGGACAGAAGCCACACTGGCCTCTGTGCCTGGTGTACAGGTGTGTGTGTGTGTGTGTGTGTGTGTGTGTGTGTGTGTGTGTGTTAAATGCAAACAAGATAGAGAATGAACCTGTCCACCTGGCATTTGATGTTCACTTGTAGATTTGTCATCAATCTCTGGATTTTCTCTGTGAAAATAAGGTCCACATTCAGGTTATGGAATTTACTCTCAAATTTGTTGATGACATCATTGGCCTGTAGAGAAAAACAGAGTAGGAGGACTTAATCTGGAAGAGGAGGAGAAAGCCTCAATTATGGCTCAGACAGGACCGTGACCCCGCCCCCCAGTGGCCTGACTTGGGGATAGGCAGGGCTCCCTGACCTGGTCCAGGTATTCACTCTCCATCTTCTCCATGTTCATTATGATTAAACTTTCAACATACTCGATCCGAGAAGCTTCCTTCTCCAGGCGATGACACAGTAAGTTGATTTCTTCAGGGGAAAAGTTGCCTCCTTCTGAAAATAATCTAATAATAATTAGGGAGAGGTAAAAGTCAGCAATCAGACCTGAGTATTCCTGCACTTCCCAAATACTGCGTGGTTAGCAACACACTTTCCATCTAATCTTTAGATTGAAAAATATGATGGAAAAAAAATAAATGCCGGTAGTGCAAGCACAGGAACAAATATTAGAGTGGTGTAGGGTTTCTGTTTGCACTGGTGTGTCAGACTGAGTACCCTGATAGACCCAGGTGAAACAAATACAGTGCTGGGTGAAATTAAAAATGGGATAGTTTCTTGAGACCTGCTCAAAAATAAGAATTCTGTGGCGTTCCCAGATGTAAAATCAGAGTGAAACATCCCCTTGGCACATGGGTAGGCTTTCAAACTGAGATGTGCCTAGAACTTTGCATTTGAGTCGTGACAGCTGCATAGTGGGAGTGGTCAGCATGGAGCTGGACACCAAGAATGATACTTTGGGAATGAGATTGCAGGAGTAAATGAACCCCACTGAGTACCAAGACACTGCCTGGTCTAGATTGGAGGGTAGGGAGGAAAGAAAGCTCTCTCTCCCTGAGGCTTTGTAACCACAAACTCGGCTTCATACACTCTCATCAGCTGAATTCATTTCACCAGAGTGCTCCAAAAAAGCCTCAAGCAGAGATTTTTAATTGGTCCTAAATTAGTAATGGCCTCAGATGCACAGCAGAAGCAAGAATTCTCTCTAAAGGAAGTCCATGTGAGTCTAGGCCTCAAGGAATGCAACAAATAAAATCCCAAGGAAAATGAGTTATTAATAATAATAATAATAATAATAATAATAATAATAACATAAGAAAGCAAGATGCCATGAATGAGAAGCAGAAAAGCAACAGAGGATAGAAGCAGCACCCCCTCAAGACGTCAGACTTTAGAATTATCTGACATAAATTGTAAAGTAAAAAAGTATTAAGATGTTTAAGGAAATAAATGAGAAGCTAAAACATAAGAATAGGGAACAACCAGTTTGGCAAAAGAATCAAATACAAATAGAAATGGAAACTATAATAATTAAGATTAAAAACACCTCAATGAATAGATTTATCTGGAAATTAAACAGTAATGAGGAGATCGGTGGCTTGGAAAGACAATAGGAAGAAATCAACTGGAGTAAAGCTGAAAAGTGCTGGCGTGCAGAGATGTGCAGGTCAGAGAGGCTCAGCATATGCCACATTCTAATTCTAGTTTTTGCAACTTTCCAAATTTTCATTTTAAAAAAACTACATTTATAATTAGAAAATGTCAGTAATATTTAAAACAAATGCAAGCCTTGCAGGTACCAGTGTGGAAGGTTATTTATTGGCAGTGGCGGGGGCTAACAGTCAATATGCATCCCAGGATTCCATTTCTTTATAAAACTAATGATGTTTTTTGCTTATGTATACCACAGAGTAAATTTATTTTGGGAAGGTTTCCAAGTTTTACTTTACATATTTCTGTGTTTGATTATGCTATTAAAAGATTTTTAATTTTTAAAATAATGTAAGCTTTAAAAAAACTCTCCAAATATAGCCTGTTGGAAATGTCAAAGACTACAGGATAATCTTTGTGCAGGAGTGAGCTAAAATCATGGGAGAAAAATAAGGGAGAAAAGTGACCAAGAAGCACACAGAAAGACACCTGACACCATTAATAACCAGGGTGATACAAATAGAAACCATAACTTGATATACCTTATATCCATTAAAATGATTACTACAAAAAAGAAAGAAAATGATAAATGTTGGTAAAGATATAGAGAAATTAGAGCCCTTGTGTATTGCTGGTGGGAATGTAAAATGGTGCAGCTGCTGTGGAAAACTGTATGATGGTTTTTTAAAAACTTGAAAAATTGCCATCTGGCCCGCCAGTTCTCCCTCCTGGAATATGTCCTACAGGACTGAAAGCAGGGCCTTAAATAGATTATTTGCACACCAATGTTCCTCACACCAATATTCACAATAGTCCAAAGGTAGAAACAACTCAGATGCCCACCGATATACAAATGGATAAACAAAGTATGGTGTATATGCACAATGGAGAATTATTCAGCCTTGAATCAAAAGAGCATTTTGATACCTGATACAGCATGGTTGGACCTTGAAGACATTATATGAGCTCAATGAAACAACCAGATATAAAAGGACAAACATTATAAGATTCCTCTTAAGACAGGTAACTGGAGCAGTCAAATTCACAGAGACAGAAAGTAAAATGATGGTTGCCAGGGGCTTGAGTGGGAGGGAGACATGAGGAGTCAGCATGCAATGACACAGAGTTAGATGAGAGGTTCTAGAGATAGCTGGGTGTGATGGTAGCACAACTTTGTACTTAATGCCACCGGAGTGTACATCTATGTGGTCCAAATAGTAAATTTTATGTTTTGCATATGTTTGACAATGAAAAGTTAAGTGAGAAATAAGACCATCTCCCAGTAGAGAAACCTTGGTGGCTCAGAGGCCCGAGTACTGGCTCCCACCTGCAGTGCTTGAGGAATTCGATGTTGGTATAGTGGAGTTTGCCCAGGCTCTCCTCCAAGTACTGTCGAAAGCTGCGCAGGGACACCTGGGTGACATCAACATAGCTGAGCAGCTCCCGGTGCAGTGTGCTGCTGAGAATGACCAGCCTGTGGGGGACAGAGGGGCAGATGGTGATGGTGATCAGCCTGGGAGACATGAGAGGCTGGGTGGTGATGGGGGCCTGGGTGGACTGGGATACTGCTTGACCTCCACACACAGTGCCAAGCTTTAGGCCCGGTAGCATCACTGCCCAACTTCTCTGGGTAGCAAAGGGCACTAGAAAGAAATTCAAAATACCCATGTGTTCAGGCCGCCATGGGTCACCAAGTGTGCTGGATCAGAGGGCGTTGCTTTCCTCCCTCTGACCACTGCCACCAATCTGGTAGAAGAATTCAAGGAGCCATTGAATTCTTGTCCTCCCTCCAGCAGACTCTCCTTGACCCCCCCAGCAATGTGGTTTCCTCACTTTTGTGAAAGAGTACCCTGCAAAATTCTTCTTTATAGCTAAGTTTTCCTGAATAGGTGTCTGACCACTGCACAGGCACCTGCCAGTGTCTTTCCTGTGACCCGACTGAGGTTCCATCTGATACACCCAAGTGGCTTCCCAGGAGCCCCTTTCTCTTCCCTGACCCACAGCTTAGCCAGTACTCTTTCTTTGCTTGGAAAATTCATCCCTCCCACTCTCCTCCATCCCAGATGTGGGTGCCTCTGGGTTCATGGCAAATATCACCTCCTGCAGGAAGTCCTTCCTAATTCCTCCGGAAAAGTGGTCTTTCCCACCACTGACATGACCTTTCAGGCACATCATCTGTGCTCAAGTACACTGACTGTGAGAATGGAGTCTTTTCCTTAGCTGCTCACTGCTTCCCCCAACACACACACCAGATGTTGCCCACAGATTTTGAGTCTAGATTCTTGTAAAGAGGTTATCTCAAAAGCAGGCTCCTTAGTGCCTTCTGCTCCTTTGCTAGCAGCAGCCTGAGTGGGCTTCTAGAGAGCCATGTGGCTGGATGGGAGACCCCTGACCCCTTATACTTTTGGCTCTTGGTGGTGTTCAGGAAGATGTGCTCCATGTCATAGATCTTGCGGTGAAAGATATTGCTCTTTGTATTTTGCTCTTCTTGGAACTGGCAGAACATTAGCCTCTCTTTCTTCAGTGTCTCCACTACCCCAGCACAGTGGCTGTCCAACTGTTCTTTGTGAAGCAAGAGCTCAGCTGCAAGAGAATGAGAAGAGCTGAGGTCCACCAGGACTTGACTCACTTCTGCACAGTCCTTTCTTGCAACAGGGCCTGCACACTGCTAGGCTAGCTACAGAGCAGGGACCCCTCAGGTCGACTTCATTTGGCCTGCCCCCACGACCATTACCAGGGCTCAGAATGGGCTGTGACCTCAGACAGCAGTCAGAGCCTGGACCGGGGTCTCTCAGTAGTGAGAAGACTCTGCTAGGCTGTGAGGAGGGAGTTCCCTGCCTGCTGCAGATACAAAACTGGCAGATGAGAGTCCCTGGGGAGCACAGGATAATGAGAGGATGGTATGGGAGGGGGCTCAGATCTAGATGGGAGGGTCTGGGAAGAGGAATAACAAGAAACACAAATCCAAGTCTAGGTTGGTTCCTCTACATCGGTGGATTCTCACATCCAATAAGCCTGAGTTCCAACTGGCTTCCAAAATAGAATAGAAAGAACAAGGACTGGGCTTCCAGAGCCCCACCACAGGCCTTTAGGGAAAGCAGAGAGCCCTTGGGTTCCCCTGTTGTCTGTGGCAGTAAAAGTGCTGTCGTCCCAGCTCTGCCAAAGATAAATGTTATGACAGTGGAATTCATCTCTCTGGCCCTGTTGGTTTCTATACTATATATTGGGCCAAGGAATGGAGGAAGGAAAGGGAATCAGCCTTCTGTAGGAGACATCCCTACCGAGTACTAGCGGGCTGTGAGTGGCATACGCTTCTTGCCTTCCATAATTTGGTTATACTGTTTTATATCAGGAGTCAGACTGAAGCCCTGTGTGACTCAAACAGGCATGTCAGCTAGCTGAGTTGGGCTAGTATTGCTCCTTTGCTAATGGCTGTCACCGAGGCCTAAGACCTGCTTCATGAAGTGGCAGGGCCCTGCTGAATTTCGTGCAGTGAGGTCAGTGTACCCAATTAAAAGCCTTTCCCCTGTTTATCGTTTCTCACTGACTTTGTGGGTTGCTTGCTAATTGCACCTGGTCCCAGTACTGGTTTCTTCTATCCTAGCAAGATAAGCAGTGCCTACTCTCTGACAGCCCTGCCTGGCGCCATCATGCCAGGTGTTCAGCAGTAATTCACTCGATGACTTCAAAGCTCTCTTGTTCTCTATTCCTTCCCATGATTGTATTCAATAAATACTGGATGTGCTTGGGGGCTTTTGTCTTTGCTGCCATCAGCAGCACTGACCAGGACAAGACTCAGCTTCTCCACTCTAAGTCTAACTTCTGTCTGCTCTTAAATTCACCTTGTGCAGTGGTGGCTCACAGGCCAGGACCCAAGGCAGAGGTTCTGATAATGTCCCCTTCCCCGCTCCCTACAGACTTCAGGGAGCTTCTACTCAGTGCACATGCAGTCTTTTTCCCCCCCTAATTCTTCAGTGCATTTAATGCACGAATTTTTCCTGTGAGAACAAGGAGGTCCCAAATATTGGGCAAGCTGCCTGGGGTTACGAGCGTTAGGATTTGAGGCCAAGTTCACTGCACAACTTTCACTGCTCTGGGCAACAGAAGTCTGGATTATGTAGGCGCTCTCTGTTACCTCTAAAGGGGGCCTCTAGCTCTATGGCAGACCTTAGAGCACGATTTGAATGAAACACCAACTGGACTCACCGAAAGATTCTAACCTAAAATGTATCAATAAACTCAATTAAAGCTGGAAAAAAAAAATCATGCCCCTCCCCCACAGAATGGAGCCTACTACCTAAGACAGAAATGGCATGTCTTTTAAAGTATAAATACAGTAGAGATAAGGCCGGGGATTTAGCTCAGCGGTTCTGTGGCCTGCCTTGCAGGCGCAAGGACCTGAGTTCAATGCCCCGTATCAAAAAAAAAAACCAAAACACAGTAGAGATAATGTTTACAGCTTTTGAAGGCTATGTCCTGTATCAGGTGTTCATAATTCTTCATTATATCATTCCACGAAGGTTAATTACAATCTCCAGCTCCCCCTTCTGCAGGTAAGAGAGGGACCAGAGAGGTCAGGTACCTGCTCAGACTTACACAGCCAGAGTTGAGCCTGAGAACTCTGATCTCTGAACAAAATAGGCTTGCCTCTAGAGCATCCAGCATAAGGATGTGTATCTGATCTGAAATCTAAGAGCTAAAACTGGATAGCACTCATTTCATCCTCTAACACCCTCTTTTAAAAAAAGATGATTTTTTTTAAAGCCTCAAGTGAAAAATCTGAGTACTACCCTTCTCTGCAAGCTTGAGAAGTGCCAACCCTCATGAACATCTTCTTCCTGTGACAATAATATGCAAAGTATTTCCTGGGGTGGCTAACAAACACTGAGGCTACAGGGGTTACCAGGCCCCGCTGGACGCGCTTCCCCAGCAGGGCCCGCACCTGCTCTGACGTTGTGGATGTCCTTCTCTACGTGCTGAACTCTTGGCTTGTGCAGATGCAGACGCAGCTCCAATTCCGAATCCAGTTCACTGATCTTGGTAGCTACGATGACCCGGGCATTGAGGGCACACTGAGCAAACCACTTCTCGAGGTGTTCAAAAAAGCCAGCTCGAAGTCTGGAGGAGAAACCAGCAAGGGTCAGCCCTGTCAGGAAGTGTGACCTGGAAGAGAGCTTTCCATTTTGAGACTCAAAAGTGCTTCCTCTTTTCACACTTTCTTCCTCATTTTATCCCCTAATTATCTTGTATCTCATTGTGTGAATGGACCATCAGTCATTTACCCAGACGATTGCTGGAGGACTTTGGGTGGTTTCAGACTTTTTGCCAAGTATAGAGGTGTTTCCCCACAGATATTCCCCTGAGTTTGAATTGCTGAATCAAAAATTAAAATGCATCTGCAGTCCTGGTAAATATAGCCAAACTGTTTCCATTGGAGGGCAACCTGTATTCTCATCAGCAGAGAATAATAGTTTCTGTTTATTCACAGCCTCAGAATATATTTTCACATTTTTGAATTTGACAATTTTGTCATATGTTAACTGAGTACACTTTCATGTGCTTACGACTTTAATTTCTCTTTCTGTACACTGTCCACTATTGTCTTTTGCCATTTCTCTATTGTATGTCACTCTTTTTTATATTAATCTCTACATGAGGCCCATTGATTTGATGTGAGTTGCAAATATTGTTTCCCAGCTTATCATGTCATCCTTTAAAAAAGTTTGTGCTTTTTTAAAGATGTCAGTTCTCCCAAAAATAGATTCATTTCAATAGCAAGAAAAACAAACTCAGCAGATGTCTTATAGAAGCTGATGAGCTGATTTTGACATTTATATAAAATATGAAGGGTCAAGAATAGTGAAGACAGTCTTGGAGAAGATCAAACCTGGAGGACTAAACCTACCAGATAGAGTTATAGTAATCATTCAGTGTGAGGTAGTTGTTCAAGGGTAGACGCAGGGAAGTAGAAAAAAGGCACCACTGCGCTAGAAGACAGTGTATCAGTAAGTGGACCAGGGTCCACGGTTTTCTGTATGGCAAAGAAATGAATCCTCACTGCTACATCATATCATAAACAAAAATCAATTCCAAGAGGATTTTAGATCTAAATATGGAAGTTTAAAATAATAAAATTTAAAATATATAATATTGTAGAATATTTTCATGACCTTTGGCAAGCAAAAAACCATAGACCAGAAACAAAGTAAACACCCTTATGAGAGAATTGACAAGTTGGACCTTATTAAACATAACAATTTCCAGGGCTGGGGATTTAGCTCAGTGGTTCTGCCTCCTGCCTCACAAGCACAAAGACCTGAGTTCAATCCCCAGTGCCCCCCCAAACAAACAAACAAAAAAACAATTTCCATTTATTAAATATTCCTTTAAAAAGAGTAAAACAAAAGGCAAGCACAGACAGGGGATGAACACTCACCATATATTTACCTAATAAAAGCCTTACATAGGAGATGTAATGAACTCACATAAATTAATAAAAAGACAGACAATCCACTAGAAAAAGTTGACAAAAGATTTCACTAGACATTGCACACACACAACCAAAAAATATCCAAATGGCCAACAAATCTATGAAAAAGTAAACATCAACATCATTACTCATCAGGAAAATGTAAAGTAAACCCATAACAGGGCCAACTAAAATTACACTGGCATGGTTAAACTAAAAATCATTGACAATATTACCTGTTGTTAAGGATCTGGAGTGATTGGAACTCTCATAAACTGTTGGGAACTATTAAACTACTTTTGAAAACCCTTTGGTTTGGCTATATCTCCTAAAGATGAATATGCACATATCCCATGACTCAACAGTTCCACACTTAGTTATATGAGTAACGGGATGTACACACATTCACCAGAAGACTTGTACAAGAATATTCAGAGCAGCATCATTGGCATACCCTCAAATTGGAAAAGACCAAAATGTGCATCAGGAGAATGGATAAGTAATTAAATAGAGTGTATTTTTATAATAGGATACCATATAAAAATTAAAAATGAACTCTAGCCACATTCAAGAATATATATGAATCTTATAACATCATGAAAGAAGCCTGGCATAAAAGAGTGAGTTCTGAGTATTTTTAAGTGAAGTTCAAAACCAAGCAAAATGAGCTCAGGAGTTAGAGCATTTATCCCTGGGGAAAGAAGGGCAGGTACTGCGAATGACCACAGGAGGTGGGGCCTTGGATGGCTGGTTAATGGTTCTATTTCTTGTGGGTTCTCAGTACCAAATGTGTTTCCTTTGGACAAGTCAAAAGCTATACACTTTTAATTTTCATTCTTTTAAGTATGTATGTCTTAGTTCCACATGGAAATTTAATCAACTGCGCACAGAACATGTTTGTGGTTAGTCACAGTGTCAGATGGCACCGTGGTTGGTGCCAGGCTCTAGAATTACAGGGTTTAGATTCATAGCCTTCTTATCTTGAAGATTGTGGCCAATTGACTAACACTGAGTTTCAGTTTCTTCATTTATAAAATGGAGTTAGGAAGGAGAAGGGTGGTATTTAAGTGAAGAGACATTTTAGTAGTGAGATGATGCTGAGGTTTAGGAAAAAGAGCGCAGAGGCTAGTCTTTAATCCTTCTGCCCCTTGCTTCTGGCCTGACCATACTGGATTTGTGAGGTGATCATAAGCTGATTAATTCTTATAGCAGCAGGAGGGTAATAGAAATGCCATTCAAAAGCCAAATGCAAATTTCCATGTTTGGCTCAAACTGTAGCAAAAGGTCTAGAAACTTCAGAGTTAGGGGAGATAAATGCTCAAGGGTAGGATTACAGATAATTTCTTTATTCTTCATTGTTCTTTTTCTGTTTTCTGCAACAAGTTTATCAAGTAGTGCCAAATACCATATGTGATGTTGGTTTATACCTATAGAATTAAAAAAGAAAGAAAAGAAACCCTAAAATCACAGATGTGCAGAACCAGAATCACAGAACTAGAACAAACGAGCACCTGGCAGGGAAGACACTGTGTCTGTGTGCAAGGGCCAAGCCTGCAAGCACCCTGGGAAGGGTGCAGGGGGCACTCCCACACAGGGTACTGATGACCACAAGTAATTCCTGCACATTTATTTCATCAATTACCTACATTTAAAAAATTTCCAGCCTAAACTAATCTTTTGTTATAATTTATCTTGTGAATAAAGCTGGGAGCAAATGAATGAGGACAAAAGAATTTTGTACTCACTGTTTCTTAATTTCTAAAACTAGTCTGGATGGAATTGTCACTTGTTCTATGAACTTAGTGCTGGGAGTGTTGTTGATGAGTGCGGCTGAGAAGTTGAAATCAGGCCTCCTGGATCTCTCTTCTTTTTCCAGAGATAAGAGGACAAAATAAGTATTTCCACTGGAGGTGGTGAAGGACTCCATGTCCTCATAATACATATCCTCCAGACTTTCTTCTTGAGCTTCAGCCTAAGCAGATGATAAGACCTGGGAGTCAATATCATTCAACAAACTGGAATGCTGACCATCTGACATCAAGTGATTATAAACCTGTGGGCCAAGTCTTGCCTGTAACTGTTCCCTTTCACCTACTTCCCACCCAACAGCCCTTTTCAAATTGACAAGTTCTATATAAAATTTTGGGTTCCCAGTTTCCCCCCAAAAATCTCAGAAAAGATGTCAATTCTGAGCCTTTATCACCATATGGCATTTTTAGCTGGGACTGTGGAATGGCTGGCTATAAAGTCTTGATCACTTGTTATTATTTTTACACTTGGTCTCCCACCCTCTTTTCTCTTCATCTGTGGGTATTTAAGTTTGGGATCCCTGCTCAAAAAGAAGTTTCATATACCAAAACTTCCACAATGATACAGGAAATAAGTCTCTTGCAATTCTGTAATTGTGAAATTTAAGTTATTGTTTTGTGAGTCTGAATGTGTTTTAAGAACAAGGTCCGTTTACATGAGTTGCTGCCCAGCACTCAAAAGACAGCCAGGTCTGGATCTCTGGTGTTACACCTCTAGTGAACAGCAAGAGAGGAGAGGATAGGCTGGGGTGATGCAGAAGAGCGTGAGTTGATCTGTACAATAAAAAAAGAGCTGAGAAAGCACGAGGCCCAGGAGGGGCAAGGAAAGCTGTGCAGCCGAGGGCTGACTCTAGTGTTGGTTGCAGAGACTTGAGAAGAAAGTGAACTTAGAAATTACTCCTGTGAATGAAGAATTGGATCTCTCTTGATAAAAACAAAAAGGAATGAACACTTCTGTCATTCTTTACACATGCTTCTATGTAGATTGGGTCATTGGGGATGAGTCGCTTGTTTGAGAAATACCCAGAGAAGGAGCATAGCAAACTCTCTACACCCAAGAACGAGCCAGTGGCTGGCCTACCTCACCCACAGAGAAACTCTCTTGCTCTTCCTGTGCTTCCTCCCCCTCCTCCTCCTCTGCTTTGTCTTCTTCCTTCTTTTCCTCCTCCTCCTTTGCCTTCTCTTTCTCTTCCTGAACGCTCACATTTTCCAGGCTCAGGGATGTTTTTGAGGAGTTCTGTCTTTCCCCCTGCATTTCTTCTGACCCTTGCACAGAGCCCTCTCTGGATTCATCTATCTGGTCACTCAGTCCCTCTTCAGTTCCAGAGGACACAATTTCTTGGCCTTTTTCTTCTTCCATCTCTTCTGTTGACCTTACAGAATCCATCCCTCTATTTATGCTTTCTTCACTTCTGCTTATTTCTGCTTTAGAACTTTGTCTTCTCCTTATCTTCTGCAGGAAATGCTTTTCATACACCTCTGTCCGTGGTCAGCACCAAAACACAAGGAGAGGCAAGTAATTCGTGTTGCCTGAGTGGGGACTCCCAACCCAGAGATGTACAGGAGCGAAGTCCTGGACAACTGGACTGGAATGGTAAAAGTGTTACCTTGCTGTCTGACTTTGAAAATGACTTCCCCAAGCAAGTTCTACAAGAGAAAAATAGGAGTTACTGAGGGACCAGTGCTGCCCTTTCCCAGAGAGCCACTTCTAAGTGAAAGGACTCTCCCTTCCCCTTCAATATATCTTGCAGCCTGAGCCAGCTTCATTCACTGGGGATAATCAAGGTGATCCCCATCCAGGGAGCCGACTTTCCTTAATTCCAACCAGGCTGGCATACCCTTACAGAACACACTGAGCAGTAATGAAATAAAATCTCATTTTGACGCATTAGAAAAGAGAAGAAAAATGTAAGTTGAGGGATGGAAACAAAGGGGTGGAATCTGTTTCACTGGGTGCTGGATGCGACAGAGTGAGCCTGCTTTGCCTGATCCTGGGACTCTCCCTGTTTATTCAACACATTCCTTGTTTCACAGATTGGGTGAAATTGTGAATATAATGATATGATGATAGTGTGGTCTGTGGGGTTTTCAGGTCTACATTTGAATTCTAGCTCATCACAGATGGAGTGACTCTGCAGCAAGTTCCTTAACCCCTGATGTCCTCTTGTGTGAGGACACCCTTTACCCAGGCAATAAGGATGATCTCAAAGACAGACAATGAGCTCACCCTCTACCTCTTCCTCAGAGTCGTGGGGATCATTTGTTAGCTATCTGAACAGGGATCCCTTCCAAGGGAGAGCTTCTCCACATTGGTGCCAGGTATCCCACACACTTGGGAAGCACTCAGCCAAACTCAGTGTCGACAACAAGCATTCCCACTCTAGCCAGGCAGGACTTTGGCTATCATGTGAAAAGATGGCTAAATTCTGGGTATTTAAACCAGTATATTCTAGGGATTTGTGTGCTTACTCACAGAGCATTTATTGTATCTGAATTAGATGTTGGGGTCTGTGCTAAGGGCAAATGAAGTTGAATAGCAATTAGTAAAGCATACTCGTCCTTTAGGAAAGCATTCTAGTTGAGTGATCTGAACTCCTATATTTGACAGCAACCAAGAACAAGCAAGTTTAGAGACTGAAGAGGTGGCAGGTGGTGAGGACGGTAAGGCCGAGTGGGTAGGAGCCTTACCCCTCGTAGTGGACTGGGAATAGGGGTCGTTGGGAAGTATGTGGAGAAGATATCAGAAGAAAGAACAGGATGAGGAAGGGCCACAGGCAGTGGACATGTGAAGGAAGGGGGATGAGTTGCCTAAGCCAGGGAGAGTCAGAAAGTAGGGGTTCTCTGTGATTTCTTAGAGATGTTGTTTTGGATTTGGTGGGGGCTGCAGATTGGTGAAGGACGTCTGCTCACTCTGCAGAGTGAGCAGGTCAGAGTTCAATTTTAGGAATCATTGTATGGAAGTGGTAGTTATGATGAATGGAGCTCCAAATGTCATATAAATTAGCCTTTTTACTGGCAGTCCATTAAAGCCTGGAGCCTGTCAACCTCCTTTAGATTGAGAAGGCAGTCTCTCTTTTCAGCTCTCTCTTCTTGACATCCTGACATGGATTTGTACTCTGCAGCCTAAGGAATGACTTCCAGTGTCTTGGCAGATCAGATGAGAAGTCACCCTCTACTCTCTGCTTCTTCACATGTGGCTGAGGGTATCAGGTCCCTCTCCATACCTGTTGGAAGATTTCACGAGTGAAGAAATGCTGGCTGAGATTGGAGCTGTAGGAGTTGAGTTCTTCCAGTATGATTTCTGGGTACTCCATCACTTCCTTGGTCAGGAGGAGGTGAAAGCACTCATACCTGGAAGAGAGGGGAGGTAAGATACTATCAACGGGGTGCTCAGTGGATTGTGGGAGACCCCAGCTGGAGCCGTGCTCTTGATTCCAAAGAGGTGGGCTAAGATCTGGCAATCAACATTGCATAGAGCTGTTGTGAGGGAGTTGCTTTCACAGAGACAGTCCTGGGTTTGTTTGTTATTTTTCTGATCATACAAGGCATACATGCTCTTTGTAGAAAATTTAGAAACCACACATACAAAATTTTCTACTTTAATGTGTGCTCCCTTTTCTTGCCCATAGCAGAATCTTATGCTTGAACTTCACCTATATTAATCCATTAAACTTTCAAACATCCCAAGGCCCCAAAGTTTATGTTTCTCAGGTAAGGAGACCAAGCCTCAGTAGGTTACTTCTTTGCCTAAAGTTTTACTTCTGGATCTAAGTAAGCACTACAATCAATTGGAGCGTAATTCCTTTTCTGTGAATTGTCCTTACAATTAGTTGTACAAAGGCACAAACATACAAGTAAGTTCACAGAGAACTATTTGTAATACTCTACTGAGAAATTGGAACCAATTGAAAAAGCTGACTGAGAGCTATTAAATCATTATGAAGTATCTATATTAATAAATTTCACATGATCACTTAAAAATTGAAAAATATCCAGTTATACCACAGTTAGGCCAGTATAATCCATCCCTTATATTAAGAACACTATATATGTGTATATATACACACATACAAATATGTCCATAAAAAAGAACAGGAATGAGGGGAAAGTCTGTTAGTAGTGGTTGACTTTCCTCCCTTTAACAGAATATATGTGTTTAAATTTTAAAAAGAGGAGTCTAAGTTCTTGACTTTTAAACTACATTGCTTTGAAACTTCTCTCTATAAAAATCTCTTCCAAAATATCTCTGAACACTTTGGTATTGGTTGCAAGCAGAGCCGCAAAGAAACAGTGGTGTTCTCCCATTCTGGAAGCACAGTTTCATCTTCAGCTTCCTGGTCACACCCCTGGGCTCCTAGGCAGGCTGCTTGTGACTTTGAATATGAATCCAAGCCATCCCTTCTCTCGTGGGGGCTGCTGATCAACCTACCCAGATTTCATGTTCTTCAGAAAATTTCTGGCCTTTTCCAGGTGTATCTTCAGTGTTTCTTCCTGACTTTGCTGCCTCAGCTGGTCTAAGAGCTTATCAAAGTGTACCTCCTGGGCCTAGAAGCCACCCCCAAAACAAGAAAAAGCATATATGAGTTCCTAGTGCCTGCAGAGTTTAGGTGATATGCAGAGATCCTGACGATGGATCTGAGGTCCATGCGTCTGGGAAAGGCCTGGGACTCTTCTTCAAAAACAAAGGGCAATAAACGTGCTATCCCTATCACTGTCTTCACTACAGGCTTTCAGGTTCTTCTCTGTGCCTGGAATAAATCTTACAGGCCGTATCGGTTCCGAAGACCCATCACACAGCTGTGATGTGGTTCAGATTTCTGTGATTCCCACCTGGTCCCACCATAAAGGTAAGCCTCGATATCCCATTGGTGCACATTTTTTAACTTCAGATTTCACATCTGTTGTCTAATGAATTAAGTTTCTGTTTACATGGGTTGGTTTGTTCTGTTCTGTTTGTATCTGAATGCTGGCTGAGTTCACCGGCCTGGCCTGCGGCAGCTGGCAGTCTGGGAGTGGCCCACCCCTCATTGCCACTCAGGGGTTCCCAGGGGTTGGTAGCACCTGGTTCTCCAGGTTGTGTCTCTGCCTGTAATGCTCCATCCTCTTCTCGAGCTCTAGCTCCTGCTGCGATAGAATGCTCTGGTGCACCTCCCATAGCTTCATGGCCTCCTGGAAGTACCTGAAGAGATCTGAGCTCTGCCACTCTGTTTGCTTGGCCAGGGCTTCGAAGGAACTCTGCAGTGGCAGAACCGGGGTGGGGGAGTTGAAAGCTGACCAGTCCAAGGCCAATACTATGAGTCCACTAGTGGGGCTCCATATTCTCAAGACCTGAAAGTCACTGTCCAGGCATCACCCTTCAAAGTCAGCTTCTGGGCTACCCCTCCCTCTCTGAGGTAGTTACCATCCCTATCTTGGCCTGGGCTTCTTTCCTTCTCTAGCATTCCCTGTCTCACAGGTCTGGGGCAAACATCATACCTGCTGCTAAATCCTCATGCATCATCCCACCCCTAAAAAATATGTATCTTATGCCCTCATCTGGGCCAAGAGTTAGCAAATGGTAATCTGCAGGCTAAATTTGTCCCTCTACCTGTCTTTGTTTGGACCTGTGAGATTAACACTGATTTTCTAGTTTTAAATGGTTGAAAAAGAAAATTTTTAAAAGAAAAATACTGACATGAAGATTTTTATGAAGTTCAAATTCCAGTGTACATCAATAATTATTGGAACATAGCCACACCTAACCTTTGTTTCTGAAGGAAACAAAGAGGAACAACTTCTGACAGAGGCTTCTTGGTCCTGTGAGCCTAAGATACCTAGTGCACCACAGAAAATGTATGCTGACCCTGGATCAAGACTGCAGACTCCTTGGGCCTGGGGGTTTCTTGCCAATCTGTAGCTCTTTATACCAAGGGACAGCAAAGGCTCAGGTGTCCTCCTGGCCTGAGATTGAAATCTGTGCAGCACCCATGTCAGGGGTGGCTGTGAGAAGTTGAGGGATGAATATGGAGATACTGGCACAGGAAGTCTGCTCTGAGAGGGGCATGTGAGAGCCAGGAAGTAAACACACCATGTCCATGCAAGGTAGAGGCCCCCAGTCCTCCTCTCTTTTGTGGCCCAGCAGCCTGAGGAGACCTCCCCACCTCGAGGGTCCCAACTGTTCACGCACATCCAGGAGCTCCAGCTCCTCCTCCACCTTGTTCTGGAGCGCACCCACTGCCAGGAAGGTCGGGCTCACCAGGTTCTCAGCCTCTGCCTCGGTGAAGGCCTTACAGTCCAGCAGCTGCTTCTAGGGAACCAGAGGACCCAATGGATATAAATTGCATCCTACAGGGCCCCCTCCCAGCTGTAGGTGAACATGAGCTCCCTGTGATTCTGCTCTTCTGGGACTGAATGGCAGGGCAAAGGTGGCTGGAAACACCCAGGGAACATCAGGAGCTCCAGGGGCAGTAAGTGGGGCCCTAGGGCTCAAACACTCTTCAAAATTAGGTTTTCACCTAAACAGCTTTACCAAGGAGGCAGGGAGGGGATGTTTTGATAAAATGTTCCCACTACCCCAGAAAACCAGTCACTGTCCTGGAGGGGTTCCCAAGTAAACTATCTCGAGATTGGCAGGATGGAGAGAAAGATGGGCCTGGACAGCAAGGAGCAACAAAGGAACATTGCAGTGACCCCTAGGATATAAGTCTACTAATGAGCAAGGCCAGTGCTAGGTAGGACACGGAGTTAAGGGTGAAGTCTAATGAGGCCTAGAGAACACAACTTCATCTCACAGTGGATTCCTAAAGAAGGTAGCATTGAGCTCCTGAGGGACAGCAGGGACCGTTGGAGAGGGGCCTGGGCAGAGGAAACAGAACCAAAAGCTGGTGAGTGCTAGGGCCTGGGAGGGAGGAACAAAAGTCAGGGTCAAGGCTGAAGGGTATGGGGGGGCCTGGGGAGGGGGCACATCAGGCCCAGTTGCAGTTCCTCTTCCCATGCCTGCAGGGGGATGCCCACCTTGCAATTCTGCACTTGGGCCAGACACTCCTGCCATGTCTTTTCATACAGCAGGCGGACCCGCATCATGCAGTCCATGTGGTAGGTGTCTCCGGGACGGAAAACAAAACAGGGGAAAGAAGAGTAGCTCCTTTGCCAAGGGAAGTAGTTTCCCCTGACAAAACATCCTCACAGATCACTTGGTGGTCTCTGTTGGCAGTAGGGGCTGGTATCTCCCTCCTCACAGAGTTCTAAGTACCCCTAGATAAGGACCTCATTTCTGTCTGTCCTGAATGCTTCTGACTCTGATAGTCCTTCTGAATTACAAGAGGACAATGGCACCACTGACCCTACTGAGTTGCTGTGAGACTCAAAGGATGGAAAAATTATTATATATCTTCTGAGTCTTACATGAGTCCTCAGAGCTCAGTCATCTCCCCATAACCCTCCCTCCTTCCCAGAATGGAGGTGCCACCCATCTCCTCTCAGATAAATGACTGCTGGGCTGAGCTATGCCAAAGCCACTAGTTGAACAGAGTTTTAAAGAGATCTGAAAGAGCCCCACAAACATCACTCACCAAGCTCCTTGTTGAGGGTATTGAGAGAAGATTGCCATGCAGTCAGCTTGGCTTTGTTGTAATTTGGGGGCAAGAGGTTACTGGAGAGGGAAGACATGACAGGCAAATCACCATGCACATAAACTTTACTTGCCAAAATGGGTAGCATCTTTGAGAAACATATTATTGACTAAATACTAAAAAAAGTGGGGGAGAACTTCTGGATATCTCCTGATGCCAAAAGCATGCCTCAAAAAGATCTTTTAATACTAACAAATTGTTCCTCAGAAAACAAAACGATATCTGAGAGAAGTGTCCATAGCCTGTGATAGGTGCCCTGTCTGTCGGCAGCAGCTTCCTCACTGACCTCCTGGCCTCCAGTGTCAGACCCCTCTGGCCCTGCTTCCGTCCTGCCTCGAGACAAGGGCCGACCCCTGGCCCTGGCCCGCCACTCCTGTGAGCCCCTCCCCACCATTGTCTCATCTCGTTCTATGGCTCAGTCACACTAGGGTTTCTTCCGCAGCAAAAGGGACCATGTTCTTTCTCTCGTGGGGATTGAGACGCCTGAGGACCTGGGTCCACGCAGCTAGCTCAGGACCAGAGAACAGATGGGCTGCTCTGGAGGACACCTTGTGGAGAAGGCTGAGGGCCACACCCCCTCCCCACTGGGCCGTCAAAGGCACCCGTACCAGATCGTGTGAAGATGCTCCTGCCGCTTCTGCTGCAGGACACCCTGGGTCTTCAGCATTTCCTCCAGCTCCTTCTGTACGGCTGGAGGAGACTGGATACTCTCACTGGTCATGAACTCACTGGTGATCAGAAACATGGGAGAAGAAAGGAGGAGCGGGCAGGAGCAAGATGACAGGAGACCCATAGGCAAGACTGTTCAGAGCCTTGGCTTCCCTGCCCTTGTGCCACTCCAGCCCACCCCTAACTTCAGGCTCCCCTGTGGGACCCTGAGGAGAAGAGCAAGGTGGTGGCAGGAGGAAGGCAGGTAAGGAAGAACTGGCAGACTTCCACTGCACCCATGGCGCTAACAGTATAGGACCAATAAGTAAGAGGCTCTGAGCCAGCGGGGATCTTAACTGGCCCTGTCTGCCCTCGACCTTACATAGTTCCCTCCCCCACTCTGAGGTTCAATTTCCTCTTCTGTAAAATGGAGCTAATGAGAGCACTCTCCTCATCTGGTAGTTGTGAGGACACACAAGCAAAACCCCTAGCACCCACTGTGTCTGGCTCAGGGGAAAAGTCCAGCCATGACCATCACTGTTGACATTTGTCAGCATTTATAACTACCTCCCAGCCCTAGGCCCAGACAGAGATTTCCAGTGTCTTGTTGGTACATCACTAAAACCCTACTGCAGGTCCACAGTATGCTATTTTATATAGGAAGACAAGCTCTGAATGTTCAAGGACTTGATTAAAGTCACACAAAAATGCAAGGTGGAACCAGGCCTCAGTGTACTTTTTATTTATCAACAGCAAAAATGCCACTTTGCTGGGGAAAGAGCAGAGATGGCTTCTCTCTCCCCTGCCTCCCATGGGGGAAACTGCCCCAAAGGGTCAGAGCTATCGACCTGAAAGATATCTGTCCTCCTGGGCCCAAGAATACTGATAATACTGATAATAATAAAGACTAGAAATTATGAAGTACATTTCACAATTCACATTCAGATGAATGTTTCCCAACAAGTTGTACTTCAAAGAATGCTTATGAAATAATGTCCATAAAGAAAAATAAGTCATAAAACTACATATAGTATAATGGATCTAAAATAAAAAAACCTCAGAAAAATAACAGGCTGACAACGTATTAGCTGTGTTTTTCCCTGTGGGGAGGGCTTGGTGGTGATTTCTAGTTTCTTCTTGATACCTTTATCCATTTCTAACTTTAGAAAGAAAAAGAGATGCATGTTTAAGTACTGACAGAAAGGGCAGTAGGAAGGCCCTTAACCCATGCAGCCCCAGTGGCTTGAGGAAAGCTGCAGGCTGCGCCGGCCCTGCTGACCTGAAACCCTGCAGCAGCACCTCCTTCTTGAGGGTCTTCCAGGTGTCCACTAAACCTTGCCAGCGGTGGTGGCTGTCAAGCTCCATCTGCAGGGCAGCCTCCAACAGGTTGACATACAGCTGGGCGATGGCCCTCCGGTTGCCCAGCAGGGCATGGTTAATGATCTACAGTCACAGGCAGACAGGGCTCTAAACGGAATGGTGCTCTCTCACAGCAAGGCACAGTTAGAGAGGGAAAGGAGAAGCTGAAGAGCCAGAGAAGGAACAGGCCAGGGCTGAGAGGAGCTGCAGTAGGGTCTGAGGAGTCCTGTGGGGCCGGCACATGAGAAAGCAGCCATGCTTTTCCAAGTGGCTTCCTTGAAGGCTGAGCCATAACCCTGACTGCAGGAGGTTCAACCCAACTCCAAGGTCACACTTGGTCATTCAATAAAGAAAGTGGAAGAACCTAAGCATTCTAGTGGCTGTAAGTGTTCACTGTGTTTCACGAATTTGGTCCAAAAGCAAAGTACTCATGCGTCAGGGACTAGCCACATGTTGATTTGAGAACAGAGAACCAATGACCCACTGAGGCCAGAATCAGAACATTCTTTGGTGTCCTTCCCAGTAGTTCTCCCCTGAGCACCCTAGGAACAGGGCAGAGGACAATCTTTTATTGTGTGGCCTAATCTGCCCTTTCATATCTATGTCCCCTTTAAATGGGAGTCCAAAAGAACCTCAAATGCCCCTATACATTTCCCAAAGCCTCTAGAGAAGTGAGATCCCTGTCAGGCTCTGCAAGAAAAAACCCAGCCCCGTTTTTCAGTGCACTCTGAAGCTTAGACTTGGTAGTTGGAGGCACCTGCAAATATTTCTTCATTGTCCAGGTCCTCAGCCAGGCTATAGGTACACAACTATTTACAACATAGGGATTTTGTGAAATTAAATGACATAAAGGCACACATAGCAAGTAGCGAGCACTATTTGTTCTAGTGAGAGAAATAAGCACATGGCATTGAAATACTGAAGCAAACCTGGACCCTGCAGACTCTGACTCTCATGAAAAAAATATCTAAAGTCTCAGACAGTCAGTTATCTTGGAGTCCTCTGTTATCCTCCCAACAAATCCTGACAATAAGTATTGTCATCCCTATTTCATGGACAAGGGAGTTTTAGGCACAAGGCCAGAGTCACTCGGGAGCTTCTGTGCTGGGCAGTGGAGAGGGAGATCTGTGTCCCTCCGTCCCTGTGCTTGTCCAGGGCACCACATCACCGACTTGGGCTGGTCCCAGCTGTGATTCTGAACACTGTGCTCCCTTAAGATTGCTGTTCTTCTAGGCAGCGGTTACTTGGCCAACTCAGTTCTGCACAGGACCAGGAAACCCGTGAGAGTGAACTGTTCCTCTGAGTAGCTAAGAGTTCTTTCATGCAGTGGAGGGAGTCTGCCTTTGCTCTGGCTTTAGAGACATCCTAAACAACCATGAATATGTTATTTTCAACTACTGAGGACAGCACCTGGGGGAGCCTGGGGTGAGGAGATGGAGGTGGGTGTGGTTCAGCAACAGACCATGGATGGCCATAGGAGGAGAGGAAGAATAACTAGAAAACCCATACAGAGCAGGAGGGGCATTGCTCTTGAGGGTAGAAACCCCTGAGACCGTGAAGCCCCAAGATAAGCCCATAGTGTAGCATTTGCTGCATGGCACACAGTATGTGATACACAGCTAAGTGCTCAGTCTGATTGTCAGTGGGCATTATGTCAGGCATGCCCATTTTAAGGTGGTAGGGAAATGTGAAAGATTTCTGTTAAAAATGTTTATAATTGCAAAGACCTAATTCCCAATTTAAATGGCCCACTGGAGTTACTTAGGAATGTCAAAGATGAGAAGCCTAATATTCCTAAGACACCAGACTTGGGGCACCGTGGCATCCTGCTACTTTTCCTGTGGGCTGAACCCCACCCCAGCAGCTCGCTCACCATGGCTTCTTTATTTATCAGCCTGTACACATCAGGCTGCAAGAGGTAGGTTGTTTTCTCTATGATTTCCACATATTTCTTGAACACACTCTTTAGCTAAAGAGAACAAGGCATTACAGTTAGTGACTCTCACTTGCTGGAGCTAACAGGATGCAGAAGGATGTCCATTAACTCTGCAAGTGGAAGTCGCCAAGGAGCCCGCCAGTAGCCATCTCACCTTATCCGCTCTGGAGAACTCTATCGAGAGCAGCGTCTCATCCAGTTCCTTAATATCCTGCTTCTGGACCAGGACCCTCTCAGCCACCTTATCCCATAGCTCCAACAAGGTCTGCACAGGGGAGCTGGATTAGGCTGAGGGCTACTAGAGTAGGGGTCGGGAGAGCAGGTCAGGCCATAAGGGAAATCCGTACTTGGATGGTATAGTCCTCAAGGCTGGTGTCGTTTTCCACCTTTTTGAAGAGACTGTTGATGTCTTCATCAGACTCAGACAGCTTTTTCAAAAAAAGTCCCCCTGTCTCCAAAATGAGAGGTTCCATTTCCTGTAACAGGCCAGGACGGTGATGGCATCAACATTCCCAGGCAGGAGAGGGCTTGCCTTGTAATGGGGAAATACCAGGCATGATCCCCTCTCAAAAACAATCAACACTGCCTAGACCTAAGGATTGCTAATTGACTCACATCTGGAAGACAGCAGCACCATCCACCTGGCACTGTGTGAAGGTCGCACCCTCCTTCACTCCTATGGGTTTTTGTCCCAGGGTAAAGGAAGTGCTGACTTCAGTCACTGGCCTGAAGTTGGCACCCAACAAACACTCAATAAAGAAGTGGTCAAATGAAATAATCCCCTGTTTACTTCAGACAAGGAAACAGAGGCTCAGGTAGGTTCCATGACCAGAGCCAAGGTGCCCATGGGTGATAGTAGAGGTGGCATTTAGTTGGGACATACTGAGAGACAAGGCTAACGAATCTGTTCTTGGTGCTTTGGGCTCAGGGCAGGCAGAATTTAAGCTTTGAGCCAGAGCAACCAAAGTCAGAAAAGACATGGGAAGACAGGACTCAGAGAAGACTTAGAAGGGCAAAGGCTGGCCTTGCTCAGAGAATATTCAACTGGGGCACACCATCCAGTCCCTCATTAGCAAGACTGAGCAGAAGGTCAAAGGCTGCCAGATCTTGAGTGCAGTTCCAACTTGGCCCCCTACCTCCCTAGTCAGGCAAGACTTCTGGGCCTTGTGGCAAAATGGGATAACAGACCCTGACTTACAGGGCTCTTCAAGAGTTAAGGGGAGCTACAAACACAACAAGCATTGTTCACCAGCCTCTCAAACATGGCTGCTATGATCCCACCTGCATCTACTCTACGTCTTGGTGAGCCACTGAGGACCTCTTTACTGGACAGAAGAAAAGAAGCTTGGCAGCATGAAAAATCCACCCCCAGAAAGCCACAGGAACAGAGGTCAGAGGGGGCTGAGCCTCACCATCCCAATCTGTGCGATTTCCTCATGAAAGCTTGCCAGAGCATCATTGTAGTTCCTCCTCTTGCGCTTTTCTTGCCTTTCAAAGGTGATGGTGCTTGTTCTCTCTGGCACTGTGGAGCAAAAACAGAGGTGAAAATGCTTCAAGAAGAGGGCAGTGCTCCCAGAAAAGGCAGAGTTGGGGCTGTAGGCAGAGTGCACCTGCACACCAGGTGTGAATTCAGGTCAACCCCAAAGCCAGGCCAGCAGAACAGAGGCTTGAGGAAAAAGAGAAAAGATGTAGGTGATTTCTGAGGTCTCCAGCATACTGTTAAATACCAAAGATCTGTGGGCTGTAGCTTAGTGGTACAACATTTGCCTAGCATGTATGAGGCCCCAGGTTTGGTCTCCTGAACTGAAAAATAAGTAAACAATACATAAATACTGAGAAAGTGTCCAAATGGCATCTATGGAACTATAAAATTTATGTTTTTGTTTGTTTGTTTTGGTATTGGTACCGGGGATAGAACTTGGGTCCTTGCGCTTGCGAGACAGGTACCGGAACCACTGAGCTAAACCCCCGGCCCTGTTTTTGTAAGAAAATTTTAGAGGTACAGATACATATATAGATGTTTTCCAAATTACAATAGGATTATGTCCTGATAAGCCTACTGTAAATCAAGAATATTGTAAGTTGAGATTCATTTAATGTACCTAACTACCAAATATAATAACTTAGCTGAACTTACTTTAAATGTGCTCAGAATACTTACCTTAGCCTATGTTATGCAAAATCATCTAACACAAAGTCTATGTCATGATAAAGTGTTGACTAACGTGTACTTTATTAAAACGTACTAAATAAAAGTGAAAATCAGAATATGGTATGGGTATGTTTTTGCACCACTGTGACATTGACATATTGTATGTTGAACCATCTTAAATCAGGGACCCCATGTAGAAATTAAAACCAACACACACAGAGCACTTACCACCTAGCAGATGTTGTTCTACCTCTATTACTGCTCATGCTGAGGCCAGGAGGCAGTACTACCACTTGCTTCATGTTACAAGTGAGAAAACTCAGGCATTGGGGTTAAAGAGCAAAGTCTGTGACTAAGCAGGGATTTGGACACAGATCCCTACTCCAGGGGTCTGCATTCCCAGCCCATGTTCTACCATGTCCAGCAACCATCTGGGAAACTGGATACCATATGGGTTAGGTGGCTGCCTTGGAAGGATAGTTTTACTTTCTGCTTTATTTCTGCCCTTTATTTTTCTACAATATGTGTGGGTTACTTTTTAAAAACTTTTTAATCATAAAGACAAAGGGAGTTCATATTGACATAAAGTCAAATTAAGACAATGAAGAAAGGAAACGTGGATAGAGAAATACTACTGTGAAATCAAGGTAACCAAGCATCCTTTAACCAGCTGCCTTTCCTAGGAAGTGCTCCATGTGTAGGCTGCTGCCTAGTGCCTGCCCAGCTCCCTGTGCAGGTCCCGGGACAACCCTGGAGGGGGATACCCAGGGAAGAATACCCTCCGAGGGGCTGAGCAGAAGAACCCAGTGTGAGCTCCAGGGGCACTGTTAGAGGAACTCCAGGAGACATCCTGTCTGGGGCTCCCTCCTACCCAGTACAGACCTATGCTCCAGGCTGGTCCAATGCTCACCGATGGTGTCCATGAGGCCTCGCACTTCTCGGGCAGCAATCTGGCTCTCACTCTCTTGTGCCTTTTCCCATCTGGCTTTCTCCTTTTCCCTGAGGCACAAGCACAGAAGAGTAAGCCCTGGATCCCTGACCACATGGAGGGTAGCTCTGGTACACAGGAGCCTTCAGAGGGACTGCAGGCAGTGGCAATGGCTCTGGCCCAGCCTGCTTCCAGAAATCCCCAGGGCAGTGCCCACTCTCCCAACAAACACTTTCTGGGTGTCCTCGGCCAGAAGATACTGCAGGCTGGAGATGGGAGGTTGGATCCCTGCCCTCAGGGAGCCTGCTTCAGCTCTGGTGGTAAACCAAGTGTGGTGATGGCCCAAACCATTTCTACATGGAGAACTTGAGGATCGGAAGGGTCACAAACAGCATGTATCCTCATTTGTTCCTTCAGTAACCCAGCCAAGGTGGTAGCCAGCAGCTGGGGTAACCCCATTTTCCAAGGAGAAGGGCACATAGAGAAATCACTGTCTAAAGCAAAGCCAGGACTCCAAAACTCATGACTCCAAGACCTTGCGACACCAAGCCCTATGGGGCTTGGATTTGGGAGGAGAAAGCTGGGATCTCAAGACAAATATCTCAACAGGGAGGACAGAAGGGGTAAATATGACATTAGCTTTGGAATAAAATCTATGAAAGCATCACGTATAGGCAAGCACCACAGAAATTCCCAAGTTTTCTGTGACTACTGCATTCCTTGAGGCCCCAGGAGTCCAGTACTTTGCAGTCATCTCATGAGTCCTCATTGCAGACTCAGCAGGAAGACTGCAGAGCTGGGCTACAGGTGTGAGGGCTCAGGCGACCCTGCAAAGGGGTATTTCAGGCCTCGTTGCCAGCACCCCTGGCCCAAAGGAGCCCCCCAGGACAATGAGAGCTCTGACAATGTCACCTCTAGCTTCTTACCCACTTGCCCCTGGGTCTTGGAAACTTAGTTAATACTAGTGGTAATCTACGTCCTCCCCTGGGCTGGTCTCCACCCTCCCAAGAGCCCTGTCTGTGTGAATTCACTGGCCAAATTTGCTTGAGGATTGAGGGAGATGATGCATCTGACCCTGTTACTTCCATTCAACCTAGTCTGGCCTCCACTTACCCTATAGATGTCTAGAAGGAGCTGGTCCTATGGCTGGAGTGCCAGCTCACAAAGGGAGCAGAGGAAGAAGAGCAGGAACAGCCTTGGAAGTGTGTGAGGAAGCCCAGGGGCCTGAGATTCTGGAGGAGGGAATGGGAGCCAGAAGTTCACCCAGGAGGAGAGTTGATAGACATTCCCAGGTGACCACTGCAAAAGAGGCTGGAGTAGGGAGGAGTTGGATGGCCAAGGGCTGATGAGCACCGAGTCAGGCAGAGGCTCTTTCAGAACACTTGGACTCCAGGAAAGCTTAGGGAGGCAGAGACAGGGCAATGTCGGGAGAGAGCAATGGCTGAGATCAGCTTCCCTTTCCAGATGGAGAGGCTTCTGTGCCAGGAAGAGGCCTAGGGTAGATGAGAACCCTGGGGTTGATGTTTGAGAAGGGCTCCCTGCAAGGCTGGAGAAGGTATTGCTAGGAAGCCAAGGCTGCACCTGCCTCTTCCTCAGTCCCGGGGAGGTACCTGGGGTAGCCCAGGTGGGTAGGGAGGTCCTGCTTATGGCCTCTCTTCCGTGTAAATAGGAACTCCCAAGGACTGGGGATTTAGCTCAGTGGTTCTACTACCTGCCTTGCAAGCACAATGTCCCAAATTCAATCCCCAGTACCATAAATAAATAAATAAATAAATAAATAAATAAATAAATAAGGAACTCCTGGGTGGAGACTGGAAGGGAAAGAGGACCTGAGGGAGGGAGGATGCTGTGAGCCTCCGGGCTGGCTGCCTAGAGCTCCAGGTGAGCTAGGTGAACTGGGTGATTTTGCCCAGCTGCTCTAGCTCAGGTGGGAGGTTAGGGACTCTCCTGGATAGGGAGAAGGATGGGGACTGAGGAAGGTGAGTCACCGGGCCTGAGCTGATTGGGAATAAAGCAAAGGCAGAGAGACTGTGGACCGAGGAGGGGAGACGCTTCTCAGGGACAAGGACAGGCCACACCTGAGAGATTCTGGATGTAAAATTAGTGCCCCTAGTCATTTCGGGAGATTACAAACATGCCACTATTTCTGCCAAGGCCGTAGAGAGCTGTGCTCTGATTCTGTCTAGGACAGAGGGCTTGCCTGTCTGTCCCAGGAAGCTAGCACAGCACAACGCCAACACCCTCCATGACAAGGGCCAAGGGCATCAAGAGCTCCTGACTGATTCTGTATCTGGACTTAGAGATGATAGGAGACCCTAGGCTGACTGCTGAGGAAGAGGAGACCTCCAGGAAATACAAGGGGATATCAAGAGACCCCATCACTAGAAGAGAAGAAGTTAGCTAGGAGGGGGCTTGGGAACTTGTGGAAGCCAGAATCACAGCCAGGCTGCCACGTCTCCCTCCTAGAAGAGAAGACAGGGTGGGTATTGGACAGGCCCCAGCTGCTTGTGCCTCTGTACCATCTCCAGTAGACACAAGAGCCAGGAAAGGCTGACTTGAGTGTGGACTGGAGTGGGGCAGTGGATGTGCCCATCTGTGGATAAAGGTGTTAAGGGTCAGAACCCTCAGAGGTTCCCCTGGAAAAATTGAAAGCCCAAGTGAGGGCAGAGAGCTGAACCCAGCGTGAATCTGTCTGTGCCCCACAGAGGTGAGAAAGGCAGCAAAGGTAGGTAGAAGAGATCTGACCTCCCACCCGCTAGTCCCTGGCCAGGGAAGGGGTTTGTATCTTTTACCATTTGAGTTTGAAGAGCCTAAGGAAAACACGGTTCCCACAGTACTCTCCCAAAAAGCTGGGAGAGAGATGCTAGCCTCTTTTCTTTCTTTTTCTCTCTAGTTGAGGAGTCAGTGAGCACAAATGGAATGCTGAGGAATCTCAAGTTTACTTCTAAACTTGATCACAAGGAACGCCTGATTTCCCTCCCCATTCCCACCTGTTCCTATTTCAGGAAACAGCACATCTGCTGTCCACCCAGCACTCAGTCCAGAGACTAAGGACTTCTGGGAGCCCTCTCCAGCCACTCAGTTCACCACTAGGCTTCCTGCACTGTCAAGATTGCAAGGATGATTACAGTAGCCTTCTTTCTGGCCTCCCTGCCCCTCCTTGAAGCCCCCTACATTCTGCACAGAGTTGCCCAAGGGACCTTAGCTACGCAAATCAACTGCTCACTGCGATAAATTCCAGAACACTGACTGTGGCCTGCAAAGTGTGTCCCAGCTTCATCTCCTGCCCTCTTTTTCCAGGCCCACTGACCGTTAACCCATCCTCAGAGATCTTTGCCCCACCCTCCCCTTCCTTACCCTCTGGTCTCAGCTAAGGCCCCTCCTTAGGGAGTGTTCTTGACTCTGAGTCAATGCTTTCCCATTTCTGGAGGGGAAGGTGCTTATTTATTATTGTCAAGACCTCAAGTTACATGAAGGCAGGACCCTCCTATCCAGTGCCTGGTTCTAGGCACAAAATCAATAATTATTGGGAAGAGAAGAGAAAATGATCCTTTGAAATGGGTGTGACTACCTCCTTTCTTAGGGGATGCATTTGAAACTTCATTCCTACCTGCCACTCTATGTCTCTGAAGACACTGGGGTACCCACAATGTGTGGAGTGGGGCCTGATGACAGGACCAACCTGAACAGAACAGGGTTTTCTGTGATCCAATCATTGGGGAGGCTATGCATCCACTTCCGCTGCCGAGGAGTCATTGTCTCCCCTTGGGGAATCTCCACCTTCTTCATCACAGGTAGCCTGTTGCTCTTTGGGCTCACAGAATGCTCAACAGCACGCATCCTGGTGGCTGCCAAGGAGTGGACCAACTGCACCTGAATTCATGGAAGGCCGGATGGTCAGAGCTACAGACTCCCTAGCACCCTCAAGCTGACTGTGTCTCTTAGAACACTTAGGGACCTGCCACCAAGAAGGCACTTTTCAGAGAAGCCTCCAACCTTACCTCCCCAACACAAACACACACACACACACACACACACACACACACACACACACACACACATATGCAGGCACAAAGGCTCTCATCCTCCTGTAACCATTATCCAGCTACTGCGAAGAAAGCATGTTTTAAGAAATTTAAATTTAAATTTAAAGAATTAAGATGCTCATCTCAGTCTTTTTTATAATTACAAAGAATTTTTTAAAAATAGAATTGTCTCAATAATAGTCAATTGGTTGAATAAATATATATGTCTCTTTGACAGACTGTTAGATGTTTATTAAAGATGAAGCTCACAGAAGTTTTTGTAACATGGAAAAATGCTTATGATGATATATAAACATGTCAATTAAAAGTATAAATTAAAAATTACACAGTATGATTTCAATATTTATAATACAAAGAAAGCAACCAGGAGGGAGTATGCCAAGTGTTAAGAATGGCATATTGCTTACATGAAACAGGATTGTATGAGTAATTTAGCTGTTTCTCTGATTTTTATAATTTCCAAGGATTTTTAGAGAGCATTATTTTAGGGTTCAAATTAGGACAAAATTACCTATTTAAATAAGTAAAGGACCGGGGATTTAGCTCAGTGGTTCCGCTGCCTGCCTGGCAAGCACAAGGACCCCAGTTGGATCCCGGTACCAAAAACAAAAACAAAAACAAAAACAAAACAAAACTTCAAAGGGAGGGTTCAAGGTGGTGGGTTTCTGGGTCTCTTCTTGTTTGGTCTGTTAGGGAGGACAAGGCAATTTCAACAGAGATTTTAATATGGGGGTGATCCTCAATCCAACCAGCAGCCACTAGAACGTGTGAGGGCTGAAAATACCCAAGGACAAGAGAATGGGTCTGTTAGGAGAAAATGCAGGTTTCAAAACACTAGTACAGAATGAAGTCCAGTTTCAAGTAATAATCAGAACAGCATTACCCATGAAAAAAAGACCCAAGGTACTGAACGGTTAATCCAGAATATTTTTGAGTACTGTAATTTAAATTGAAAATTTCAATTTAAGTTTTCTAATTTTCAAGACAGGTGTCCTAATTCTCTTAGTACATTGTAAAAAGTAATAAGAATTATTTTTAACAAAGTAATTTCAAACTTACTTCATTAGATTGCCAGATCGGAACGCCTGCAGAGGGAGGGAAGTTCAGAGGGAGCAGAGGGAAGTTTGTGGGTACAAGGGGAAGGGCTGACTAGAGAAGAGGGACGGTGGGCAGGCCCTACCTGAGCCTGGAAGATCTGCTGGTAGACTTTGCTGCTGGGAACTTGGGTCGCCTTCCGCACTGACGACATCTTGGCGCAGGCCTGGAGGGACGCCCCTGCTGGGAAGCCATTGTCCGGGAAACGCATCGGGCTGTTGGGTCTCAATTCCCACTCCAGCTGGGAACCCACAAGTGCCCAAGAGTGGGGGTGGGGCAGGAAAAGCCAAGAAACAAATCTCTTAAGAGCCAGGAATTCGAGGAGGAAAAGGCTGCTCTCCCTGTCTCACAGGGCACAAATGTGAAAAGGATTTGGGGGACACAGAAAACTCAGGTTTATTGTTTGTACTTTACCCTGCCAAGTTCTTCTGGGACACGTCAACGTACCCCAGGTATTAGATGGGATTGAAACCCCAACCCAGAGGTGATCTCGAGTCCAGGATCCCATCCCATCCTTGAGAAGATGTGGGGAAGGCGAAGGAAAGGCCGGATTTTGGACACTCTAAGTACGCACCCTCTTGTTTGTGGAGAAGGCAAAGCCGACTCTCCTCCCTGTCCCTCTTTCGCTCCCACTCACCCACCCCAGTAGCCCACCTGCAGAAAGCACCGCTCCGGTTAGCCTGGACTGGTCTGGCTGCAGCTAAGTCCGGACACTCACGGTCTCCTAGGCAACGCAGGGAGGCGGAGACGCGCTGTCCCAGCCCACGCTTCATTGTCAAGGAGAGGGTTGCCCTTAGCCCACACGTGGAGTACTGAAGCAAAATCAAATGCTTCCTTCAAAGCCAGTTTCTTTCTGTACAAGGGAATATCCCAGGGAAGTCAAGGCATCCTGGGCAGCATGGTAAATGTTCTGAAAGTTAGATCTGGGCCGTCATGGTCTAGAAAACCCACCCTATCTATGCTTGGCCTTGGTTAAAACCAATCTGTATGGGGAAGTAGCATAGAGTAGTGTTTCCTATAAGAATCTGAAAAGACCTGAACAAGAACTCTTTCTCAGTTTAAAAGATATTGATGGGATCGGAATTCAGGGTTCAGTTTGCCTGGCCAGAACTGACCAAATGGTGGCCAAGTTTCCTATATTCTGTCTAGGCTAGGGGATGTCCAGCTCCTTCATAGAGAATCTGTTCCTTGGCAGGGGTCCCTGTTAGACTGCTAATAAATATCCCCCGTGCCAACTTCCTAGAGCAAGGGCTCATTCTGTCCAGTCTAGCAATGGAAATTAAGAAGCAGTGGTCAAAAAACTCTTTATTTTCATTCTTTGGTCCAGGAATTTAGCAAGGTGAAATATTGTAATGAAGACTGAATTCATTTTAGTTAAAAAAAAAAAAAAAAGAAAGTACAGATGACTGAGGTAAGAGTTGGAAAATACAATGAAGTAGAAAATGTTCAGGAATTTTGCAGTCTCTGTTCTCTTTCCAAACCGAGGAGAACTTACTGTCTTAAGCCTTTGTACATCAGAAACTTTGCTTTCCCCATGTGGAACCACTGAGCTAAATCCCTGGCACATATCTATAAATTTTTCTTCAAGACAAATTACACAGATATAAATGTATAGGCATGGATATATCACACATTTTGTTCCAAATGAACAGAATTGTCATTGTACAAAATAACTCAATAGAGAAAAATAATAATCTACAATCCCACTGCTAAAAATTTATCTCCCTTCATTCTCAAGTTTCTGGGCCTTTATATTTGTGCTTAAAATAAGTGTGGATGTTTGTATTTGGCTTTGGGATAGCATTCCCATTGCCCTTCCCACTCAACAATGTCATGGCTGGGAAGGCTACTAAAAATCACTTGGTTAAGTCTAGAGGTGAGGCAAAGACTTGAAGTGGAAGAGTAACACCAGGCAGCTGAACTTTTCCTTATACCTCAGTTCATCTCTAATTTTGTTTCCTTCTCACTCTTCACTTTGAAAAAGTCTTTTGAGGTTGGTTGGGAATACAGAATTATAGTTAGATAGGAGGAAAATGTTCTGGTGCTCTGTAGCACCATAGGGTGACTGTAAACAACAATTTCTTGTATATTTCAAAATAGAGAAGGGAGAAGACTTCAAATGTTCCCATTACAAAGAAAATATTTGAAGTAATAGATATGGTAATAAACCCAATTTGATCATTATAAATTTCATACAGTTACTTCTTTTTCCAGTACCAGGGATTAAACTCAGGACCTTGCATTTTTGAGGCAGGCACGGCACCACTGAGCTACACCTCCAGTCCATTCGTTGCATACATAAATCAAAATATCATACCATGCCCCATAAATATGTATCAACTAAAACTAAAATAAAGTAATAAAATAGCTTTTTTAAAGTTTCTTGACTTGAAACCTCTTTCTCCATCTTCTACCCCAGACCATCATTATTCATTGTCTCCATAGAACATATAGAAGGAAGAACCACAGAGACCAACACCAGTGCTAATGTTTATTGAGAAGATTTAATCCCTTAAATAACTGTGAGAGGATACCATAATTAACCCACTTTGTAGATGAAAAAGTCAAGCCCAGAATTAGTAACTTGGCCAAGACCCCTGATATAGGAAATAGATCTAAGATATGAATCTAGATCTTATAATTCTAGAATCTTCAACTAAGCACTTGCTACCTGGCATAGTAGCCAGAAAAAGTTCTTCATCCAACTGATTAAATTTGCATGTTGAAGCATAATGTGCATATCTAAGAATATGGAAATCATACAGGTTTACCTCAGTGAATTCCTGAAAGGGACCAGTGCACACAAGAAATAGAACATTACCAATTCTCCAGCAGCCCCTCTTATGTGCCTCTCTTATGTTCTCTTCCCTTCTGCTTGTCTCAAAGATGATAAATATTTTAACTCCTGAATTAGTTTTGCTTTACATTTTTTATTTAAATAGAATCATATGCAACAGACCCCTTTGTGTTGGTTTCCCTCCATTGTTTGTAAGTTTCATACTTGATTGTAATATAGTATTCACTTATGAATAATATAATCCATTTTATTTACCCTTTCTACTATTAGTGTATATTGAGTGTTTTCAGATTGAGAGCATACCAGTAATAATGCTATTTCCTACATTCTTTTGCATGGTGGACCTATATTAGCATCTCTCCTGGGGATTTACTTAAGACTAGAATTGTTGAGTCATAAAGTGCATGTCTACCTTTAGAAGAAACTACCAAGGAATTTCTGAAAGTAGTGTTAAGAATTTATACATATCACAGCATACCGGAGTTCCTGTTGCTCTTCATCCTCACCAACACTTGATATTGTCACCAGTTTTAATTTTAGCCATTATGCAGTGAATTAACATTTTAATTTTCATATTCTGATGAGTAACTATGGGAGTACCTTTCTTATTCTTGTTGGCCATTTGGATATCTTCCTGTGAAATAACATCTGTTTTGGTCAGCTTCCTGCTACTCTAATAAAATACAGAGGTAATTAACTTACAAAGAGAAAAGGTTTATTTTGACTCGTGGGTTTGGAGGTTCCAGCTCAAGTCAAAGTGACCCATGGGGAGGCCCTTTGGGTCTCTAATGAGGCAGTACCCCATGGTGGAAGCACATAGCACATTCGCCAGGAAACAGAGAGATGAAGAGACTGAGATCCCACAATCCCCGTTTCAGGACATACACCCAATGACGTAAGGACCTCCCATTAGATCCTCTCCTAAAGGTTCCACCACCTTCTAGTAGTGCTAACCTGGAAACTAAAACTTTACCACATGGACTTTTGGGCAATACTGCTCATATTCAAATCATAGCAACATCAAAAGTCAAATCTTTACTACCTTCAAGAGTTTATGATGTCAGATACTAGCTTAAGAGTGTTTATATGTATTAACTCATTTTATCTTCAAAATAGTTTTGGCATCAGATGGTGCTACTGTCTTTTTACAGTTAAAGAAGAGAATGGAGAAAGGTAAAATAATTTGGTCAGTGTCACACAACTACAAAATACTGGCATGGGGATCTTAGTTTTCTCAGTTTCTAAAAGCATATCGACAGAGCTTGGTTGTAGAGATTACACAAAAAGAGACAATCTGGCAAACACATCCATCAACAGGATTGAATTTACATTAGCTACTTAATGATTACCAACCTACAATTGCTTTGGGAATTATGAGGTGGATGGGAGTTTTTCTCTGCCATGTTATATGGTCCTCGTGGCCCTTGCCCATTTGGGCATCCTTGGAACGGTCCTAACCAACACCCTGCACCCTCACATGATACATGGCTCACCACTGTCAAACATCCTTGGGCTTGCATGCCCAGACAACTTTGGTCTTATTGTCACCTACCTGGAATGCCTGTCCACCTCATATCTGCTTCCATGGACAGGTGGATTTCCTAGGTGACCCCACACTTCTCATAGAGAATTTAAGCATCTTCTTTGTAAGCAAGGCCCAGGTAAACTCTGATCTACTCCTCACCCCAGTGGCCATGGGACAGAGAACTCATTGTATGCCTACTTACCCTCCAAGATTAGGGGCTAGGACCATGGATTTCTTTCTCTCTCACCCACCATAAAGCCTGGAAAAAGGAAGCAATGAGAACCTTGTTGGATTGAGAGCTATGCTGTTTGAGAAAGAAAGAGGGAGGTCTCTTGATGTAGACATTTTACAACTTTCTTCAGTGACAAAAATCCTGACTTGGAATTAAATTTAGTGTTTCTTCACAGGCAACTCGCAAGCTGTCTACCCTCAATGGGCAGTGGAAGTCAACAATGGGCAAAGTTTGTTCACCGGACATTTCTTTAGTTTTTTAATCTTTTTCTCTCTTTTTTTTTTTTGCTCAAGAAGTGAAACAGTCTTGAGACTGCAGCCTTCAGACTTAGTGACCATCCCACAAGTTGCTCACACTATTTTCCATGTAGGTGGACAGAGCCTGTGCCATCTTATCCCACAGCAGAGAACAGCAGCTAGTTAGACTTAGTCTTCTCTTGGGAGCAGGTGACTGGGTCTGGCCTTAGAGTAGTTGTTGGTGGCCAGTGTCAGCAATCTGAGCACGTCAGCAGAATCTGAGTGAACTCCCGGGAACGATGCACTGATTTTGATTTTCTGAGTATGATGAGTCTGGGGTTGTTTATCAGGGTCTGCAGCAGGAGCCACCTTGTCCTGGACCTAGCTGAGATGTGAGGACCTAGGATAAAATCAGACAAGATAGATTTGGGGTAGGAATGATTGGGAGGAAGACTGCCTTTGCTGTTCTCAGAGCCTTTTGGAAGAAAGTCCTATAATGAAAAGTATGGCAGAAGGGGCTAGATCAGGAACTGGAAGCAACAGGGAAGTTGGAGGGATGTGAGTTGAACCACAGATCTGGCTGAGTATCTGCAATGTTGAAACAGCAATGAATAATTTAAACTCTACAGGGGCAGGCGAGCCTTAGACAGTGTGGAAGCAATAGAGCAGAACAATCAAGTCTAAGCTCAGAGGGTATCTGGTGTGTGGCCTGAAATGTGGTTTGGAATCTCAAACAAATGGGGCATGGAGGACTCCACTAGCAGAACTAGAGCTCATTTCCAGGAACAAAGGGGGAGGCCAGTTAGCAGGACACCACGTCTTAGTTGGGCCCATAGCCAGGTTGACTGGAAGCTAAGCCTCCTGAACATACTGCTGGAAAGGTACCCAGGGAAGACAGTGCAGATAAAGGGAACAGAAAAGGGACAACCTAGAACATCTCAAGGATCCCGGTTAGCCTTAGAGGTGTTTATTTCCTGCTCCCTGGACCTAGTGCAAGGTCAGAAAGGAGATACTACCTGCTGATTGGCACCAGTATTGGGTGGTCTTCTGCAGCTTCCTCTCTTTGTGTCCTGTGATCAGGATGTGGCAAAAGCTGACGAGCACAGGGTTGGTGTGGTAATGGTCCATATAAAGCATGCCGACCCAAGCACTGAACCCTGCAACCCAGAGGGAGGTTCAGTTGGGTGGTAGCTCCCAGCATGGTCTAGTTTATGCTTTATGAAATAACTGTGGGTCAGTCTGTGACCCAGTGGTGTTCAAGTCTTTGCTGGGAATCTAGAAAACAAGCTGTAAAGCTCTGGATTTTTCTTAGAGATCACATTCTAATCTGTCTTTTGGGTGGGTACCGGAGACCAAACTCGGGACCTTACACTTGCAAGGCAGGTGGCAGAACCACTGAGCTAAATCCCCTAATCTGTCCATTTTTATAGAGAACTCAAAGCTCAAAGTCGGGGCTGGGAGCAGCCAAGGCAAGAACTAGGAAGGTTCTGTGCAGATACTAAATGGCTGAGGAAATAAGTGACAAGGGCTGGAAGGCAAGCAAAAACTGCTTTTGAATTTTCTCAGAAATGGCTTTGGTATTTCAATGGAACAGAACATTTTTACTAAGTAACTTCCCAATGAACAACACGAGTAATTCCGAGATATGTTCTCAAAATTTTCATAAGCTAACTTCTGTTTGGACAGAATTCACTACCTCTGACTAGGACTCTCTTGCACCTCAGAGGTCTGCCTTACCATCAGGCTGTACAATTTTTTATCGTTCAGCTTTACATTCTCTCCCAGAAGCTAAACTCTGAGTATAAACAAAAGTTTCCCGGCTTCTGACATCCATCTTCCAAGGCAGCCGCCACAAAGGTGCAAGTCCAGCTCACCCCAGAGGAGATGGCCAGCAGAGACTGGTCACATACCCATGTCTGCTCTCTCATAGCCGCTCTGCATGATGGTCCTGTCAATGCGTGCAATCAGCCATGTGCCCAGGATGCAACTGATGAGCAGCCTAGAGAGGCAAGCGCCCAGGCCGAGCAGAACATTGTAGAAAAACAGGAAGTAGTTGAAGTTGTGGAAGGCTTTCCTGCAACAGAAGCCCAAGGCAGCCCTTCAGTAAGGCGAGGTAGGCAGGCAGGCAGGCTCTGGAGTCCCCCAGATCTAGTGGTATCCAACACTGCTACTCCATCTCCTAGGCATTTACCCTTGTACATTGCCATCGGGGAGGCTGAGTGATCACCTCACAGCCCTGGAGTGAGGGTAGCTCAGGCTGGTGTGGAGGGCCCTGAGTACCAGGCAGGATGAATGTTAGTGCAAGCCGTGCTTGTTTCGTGCAGTTCTTGCAGGCTTCCTGTGTGACAAGAGCATGGTGCTTCCCCATGCTCTGTTTCACCAAGGACCTGCCCAAGTACTCCAGGGAAAACTTCCCAAAGGACCACCAGTCACATGGCTTCTATTGCCTCTGGGACAAAGCTTGAACTTTGTATCCTGAGTGGCAGAACTCACTCTGAGATGTGCTTTTTGTGATCTTGTCACTTTGGGTCCCTTTCCTGTCCCTTGCTGTCTAAAGCCATTGTATGGTGACCATTTTTCATTTTCACTCTCCTCTTAAAACATCATGGTCTTTTGTAGCTTCCTGCTTCCATTCGTGCTGTGGCAGCTGGTGGCCCCAGCCTGTAGAAATCCCACCATTCTATGCTCACCCCACTCAGACATCCCATCTGCAGTGGAATGGCCCCCTGCCCTTCCCCTCAACTCCCACCTCCCCACCTTAGTCACTCCCATTTCTCCTGTTGCCATTTTGCACCCTCTGGTGTCCTCTGTCCTTGCCATGTGTATGCCTGTTTGGTCCAGGAGGCTGTGAGTGTCTCACAGGTAAGTGTCAGTATTACTTCTTTACCCTCAGTGCCTAGTGTTCCTCAGTGAATTAATTAGAAAGAATTACCACGTTCTGGGCACTATTGTTCTAAGTCCTATTTCATCACATTTCATCCTTACAACACATCTGTAAGGTAAGCAAAAGCAATTCGAAATGGGAACCTGAGGTTCATAGATGTTTGGTATGCTCACACAGGTTCCAGGGCTGTAAGGAGGGAGCCAAGATTGGGGCCCAGGTGAACCGGCTCCAGAACCAACCCTGTCCCCTGCACCACAGCCTCTTGGGAGTGTAGAGTCCATTCTGAAACTGCCAAGGGGAAAAGGGAAGGATGACAGATAGCTGAAGCCCTACAATTGCTCCATTCCTTCCCTCACCCTCACCTGTTGTTAAGAGCCAAGGGCTTTTGCTTGTCAGCTGTGCCCAGCTTGGGCTGCAGGAAGAAGCTGGCAGCAATCCACACCTGCAGGATCATAAGGCCCATGACAATGGAAATGGTGAGGCTGAAAGACAGGGGAGGAATGTGCTGAGGTGTCCTGTTCTACTCTTCCAGGACCTTCTTTGATACCCATAGAGAGAGGAGAGAGATGCTGACCACCTCGCAGAACAACAAGCAAAAAAGCTCTATGCTTTATGCTCACAAAGCATTCTTATGCTCATTGTACAGGTCAGGAAATTGAGGCTCACAAGGGGAAGTAACTTTCCTAAGGCCTCATGGTCAGCTCTTCCGGCTCCAGATCAGAACCCAGGGCTCCCACTGATGTCCCTTTTTACCAAGGATGGCAGCTGGATGAGTGCTTAACAGGTTGAGAATGAAAGAAAGGAATAGGGGTTGGGCACTGCTGAGAAGTCTGTGAGAGAGAGGACAAAGCAGGCTCCACTCCAGACTCACACTGGCTCTAGACACGTGTGGAACCAGGGAGCTCATAGCAGGGAGTTCCCCAGAAAGTACCCCACTGTGCTGACACCCGGTGAGTAGCAGTATGGGGTAACAGTTAAAGGAAGCTCTGGTTTCAGACTGCCTAGCTCCAAATGCTGTGATGCTCCTCATCTGAACATAAGCACCAAGCTCATAGTATGAGGAAAGATGAATTGTGATGCTCAATGCTGCCAGCATTCACTTTTGTCTTCTAGATAGCTAAACTAAGGCTCAGGGAAGAGACGTCATTTACTCCAATTCACAGAGCAGATCCAAAAGCTCAGCCAGGATTCTCTACCTCATTCCATCATGCTGTTCCAAATTCACAGAGCAGATCCAAAAGCTCAGCCAGGATTCTCTACCTCATTCCATCATGCTGTTCCGTCTCTTACTTTACTGCCCCACAAATTTATGTTCCCAGGTGGAACATGTACACAATGTGTCTTCTCACATACACAGACACACACCTTGGCGAAGGCCATACTTAGTGGTGGGAGAGGAAGCCTTTTGTAAACTGTAAAGCTCCCCTCCCCGTGAGCTGCTAGGATGGCTCCTTCTGGGTAAAAGGCAAGACCATGAATCCCAGGGTTTGTGCCCAAGACCCAGAAAGGACAGGGCACTCATTCAGCACTTACATCCCCAGGCCCAGGCCTTGCAGCATCTCCAGGCCCCGGTGGTGGGTGATGGGCAGCACCAGGCCATACATCATCATCATGCCACACAGGCTCTGCATCACATGGATGATGAGGTAGCCTGAGGATGGGAGGCAGGGATTACTCCAGGCCCTTTTATGACACCTGTGCCCTCCTCCACAAGAGGCCCTGGCACGTTTGCTAGTGCTATTTCTTCTGCCTGGCACAACCTTCGGCCCCGGTGGTGGGTGATGGGCAGCACCAGGCCATACATCATCATCATGCCACACAGGCTCTGCATCACATGGATGATGAGGTAGCCTGAGGATGGGAGGCAGGGATTACTCCAGGCCCTTTTATGACACCTGTGCCCTCCTCCACAAGAGGCCCTGGCACGTTTGCTAGTGCTATTTCTTCTGCCTGGCACAACCTTCTGTTTTCTTGCTCACCTCCTGTCACCTTGCCAGGTTCAAAGTCCAGCTGCCCTAGGAAGCCTGAACCCTGCCCTGGGGTTGAATAGTCACTTCCTTCTCTAGGTCACCACTGCCTTAGCATACACAGCGCAGGGCAGTTGGGCAGACAATGTATGGAGAATGTTTCTCTGCCCATCCTGAAGGGCCCCTTGGAGCAGAAGTTGGGCTATTCCCTGCTCCCCTCCCTCCTCACAGCCAGGCCTCTACAGATGCCCAGGAATGTGCGCTGGGTTATATGGGTCACGGGATGGAACTTACCCCACAGAATGTAGGCTATCTGCCAGCCAGAGTACTTTGCAATGGCTGCCTGAGGTTTAAAAGAAAACAGGGATCTCAGAGCAGGAGGAAGCTTCATCCTTCTGACCCTGGGCAGGTGTCAACACCACTCAGTCTCAGAACAGAGACCCCTGCAGACTTACCACACTCTCAGAGGGGGAAGGATCATGGAACTTCAAAGGGAGAAAGTGTTTATCTCCTGCCCACAGTCTCTTTATGTGCTTTCTAGAGAAAAAGTGGTAAATTAAATAATGTTCATAACAATAGCTCTTTATGCATGTCACAATTGGACAGCTGTGCAGGGGGGTCATTAACTATAGCTCACAGTGCAGTTCTGATTTGACTTCAAAATCTGAAAGTTTAATACATTTTGTAAAATTAATACATATTGACCAAGTCACAGTGGTGACTGAATGTGATAGGTGAGATTATGTGTGGTTTTACTTCACTTTGCTTTCTATATTTTCCTATGATGACTATGTATTATTTAGGTAATAAGATTTAAAAGAGTTAAAAACAGAAACCAATATTATTGATAGCCTAACTATATAACAACAAGAAAAGGAAATAAAAAAGGAGCAACAACCCCATGCAATCCCTGATCCTTTTTCCCCCATGTTCTAGCCTAGTTCCTGACTCTCTATAGAAATAACCCATTGACATTGTTCTGCTCCTAGTCCACGTTCATTCTTTTTTTTTTTTCCCCACATTCACTCTTGACATTGATGTTCCTGGTTCTCCTGAACCAGATTTATTTTTACTTGCTGGGGGCTCTGTGTTATCCATTCTGGATAGCATCCAACAGAGATACCAGGTCTGACACCCAATAAAGATATCATGTATTAAAGAAATAAGGAAAAGAAGATCTCTATCTGGGGTGGGAGGATCAGAAAGACTTGCTCATCGGCTAATTGTTTGGTGGGTTTTTAATTTTGCTGAGTCCCAGCTTTCTCAATTGCAAAAGTGGAGATGAAACTGTATAATCCCCAGGGTTGTGAAATTCAGATGAGCATTCTAAGCAGAATCCTAGCTCACCACAGAAATTCAAATCAAAGCTGGGCATGGTGGCACATGCCTGTGATCCCAGCACTTGGGAGGCTGAGGCAGGAGGATCACTGTGAGTTCGAGACCAGCCTGGGCTACATAGTGAGTTCCAGATCAGTCTCAACTACATAGTGAGACCCTGTCTCAAAAAAAAAAAAAAATCAAATCAATAGCTGTTTTTTCTGCCTTCCTACCAAAAGATGTGGCCATCCCTGGACCTTGTACTCACTTCATGGGCTCATATTGGGCACTGTACACACTGCTCAGGGATTTTGAGAAAAGTATGCCATGTACATTTCCGGCTAAATCCAAAAAAATGACTTCCAGAGTTCTCTTACCTATAACAGGCCAGAATATGGAACAGATAGCTCACACACGTGAGCGAGGCAGGCAAAATGGTTGCCACCCAGACTCCTGAAATATGAGAAGTGATATGAAAGGCTTTGAAAAATAAACAAGAAATGGAATATTTGAGATGCAATATCCTGCAGGAAAGATCTAGGTAAAGTCTATTACACTTCCTTTACCATATTTCTTGTAAAGTTAACTTCTATTTATTTTTCTGTTTCATTTTAGTCATACACAACCTTGATATAGTACATTTCCTGCACATGCCTCTCCTTTGGTACTAATATTTTCATTCTACAGTGAATAGAAAGAAGGGAAAATTATGGAGCGTAGACATCACCAGTAAACCCAGTGTATGGAAAGCATCATTATTTAACTTCTAATTGCCATTTGCATGCAGGGTGTGTGTGTGGGGGGGTATTTACACAACATCTGAATATAAGGAGAACTAGGATCAAGAAGTCTTGACTATTCATTTATCCTTCAGGAAGTTCTTGATATTTAGAATCTAATTTGGCTTCAAAAAGATTTTGTATTTATGAGGGAAGAATGTAAAAACAGGGCAGGATGGTGACTTTTAGGCTTAAAAGTTCTGTAGAAGCTGAACATCAATAGGTATAGAAAAAGTATTTCATAAAATCCAACATCTCTGTGTGATTAAAAGTACTTAGCAAACTAGGAATCACAGGAAAGTTCCTTGGAATGTAGAGGGCATCTGCTAAAAACCCACAGTGAGAACCAAGAAAGACTGAAAGCGTCCCCCTAGCCTCAGGAATTAGAAAAGCAACGTCAGCTCTTGCTAATTCTAGTCACCATTGGACTGGTGGTTCTAGCCAGTGCAATTGGGCAAGAAAAATAAAGTGCATCCAGATGGAAAGGAAGAAGAACAGAACTCCCTCTGTTTTCAAAGGGCATGCTTTTGTTTGTAAAAAATCCCAGGAAATACACAAAAAGCTACTCAAACTAATAAATGAGTCCACCAAGTGTTTAGTTACTTTCCCCATCACTGGAACAAAATATCCATAACTTAAAAGAGAGGTTTGTTTTGGCTCATATTTTTAGTCCATGGTCAGCTGGCTCCAAAGCAGAAGCAGAACAGCAGTGGAAAAGCTGTTTACTTTGTGGTGGTCAGGATGCAGGGAGAGAAGCAAAGAGCTGGGAAGGAAGTTAGACCCTTTCAGGCCACTCCTTCAGTGACCTGTCTTTTCCAAACAGACTCCACATCCCAACAGCACATTGTGGCTGAGTTCATTGGTGAATGAATCAACCAGTGACTACAGTACCCCCATAATCTACTTTCCTGATGAGAATTTTGGGGAGACCCCAGATCTAAACCATAACAGCAAGTTTTGCAAGATACAAGACCAATATATAAAAATCACTTGTATTTCTATGCTCAAGCAGTGAACAATCTGAAAATAAAGACAATGATAGAATTTATAATAGTATTAAAAGCTTTAAAAACTATAAAAATTTAAGAATAAATTTAGCAAAAGAATGTACAACTTGTATACTGAAATTTTTAAAAAATTTTGAAAGGAATTAAATAAAACCAATTAATGAAAGGACATCTGATGTTCAAGTATAGGATATTCATTGTTAACATAGCAATACTCTTATAAATTGTTCTACAGACTCAACCCAATTTCTATCAAATTTTCAGTAATTTTTGAGTTGAGGATCTATCTTCAGTGTCTGGTATGTGAATATCCATTTGTTCCAGTATCATTTCTTGAGAAGCATGTACCTTTCCCATTGCTTTATCTTGTCATCTGACCATAACTATGAACAATGGGATAAGGCGATTGCTATATTCCAAATCTCAATCTACCCATAGAACGAAAACCTGCTATAAAAGCCCCAGAGAATGTATGGGAAGACAGCTTCAGAAGGGAAGGATGAGAGGAGTCTGTTGACAAGAAAAGTGAATTCAGGTTGGCTCCAGCCAACAGCACACTCATGACCTTGTGCCTTTCATTTAATGCCATCATCTCACAACTAAGATGAAGTGTATTCACCTAGAAGTCTCTCGGGGACAGAGGGTAGCTAAAAGCTAAAAGCTGGAAGAGAACAGGATGTGAAATTTTATTTTATTTTTAGAATATGCATGCATTTGAGAAGCACTCAAATAGCATGAGTGAATATAGTGTTGTATTCACTACTATGAATCCCAGACCAGGAAACTGATTTTTGCTTTAAAAATGTGGCCAGAACAGAGATACAGTGGGGAGCGTCACAAGTAAAATTTATAATGGGTATTACTGGAATTAAAGAGCAGCATACTCTTTAATTTGCAATTTGCAAACCGAATTGGTCATGAACTGAATCAAATTCAGTGGTTAGGTTCAGTGTTGACCTTATGGGGTACATTTGATTCAGTTTGCAATCAATTCTGTTTGTGACCAGAACTGTGGAAAGAATTAAGCTCATGAACTTAGGTACCACTGTATATTCTTAGTATTATGCTCAGGTGTTCATCCTGCTGAAGATAAATCTGCAATGAAAATGAATAAAATGTTCAAAGACAAGAGTAAACAATGACAATATGGAAGGATCAGTGCCTGCCTTAGTGTTTATGCCAAAGATAACTATCCACAACACCTGTACAAGATAATTCATTATTAAAGCTCTTCCCCTCTGGTTTTCAAACTCTTACAGTGAATGAGTCTTAAGAGGGGAGAAACATCATTTGCAATATGTTTCATGACCTACAGAACATTTGTGGTTCAGTTATGACTTGTCCTGTGGTATGAGATGAGTTTATCCTGATGAACTGTCCAAGGTCTTTTCTTATCTAGGCACAATGGACAACTCTCCTCCTTCCATAGTTATAGATATATCATTAGGGTAGGTCATTTCCAAGGAAAGTTTTCATTATAAAAAGAAGTGACTTTCCTTTTGTCCATAAAAATATGGGAAGCGCCTACATAGATATTTTTCAAAAGAAGACATACAAGTGGCCAAGAGATATACATGTGATAAACACTTATCACTAATTATCAGGAAAATGCAAATTAAAACCTCAGTGATCTGTTTTATCACCTCATACCTGTTAGAATGGATATTATAAAAAAGACCAAAACTAATGTGTGCTGGCAAAGATATGGAGAAAAGGGAACCTTCTCACACTGATTGTGGGAAAGAAAATTGGTACAGCCATTATGGAAAACAGTATGGAGGCACCTCAAAACATTAAAAATAGAATTACTATATGATCCAGAAATCTCACTCCTGGGTATCTAATTAAAGGAAATGAAATCAGTATTTTTGAAGGGACATCTGGACTCCCATGTTTACTGCATCATTATTCAAAATAGCCAAGATATAGAATCAACCTAAGTGTCAATTAACTGATGAATGGTTAAAGAAAATGTGGTGCATATACACAATGGAATACTCTTCAGCCATGAAGAAGAGGGAAATACCTTCATTTGGGACAACCTGGATGAACCCAGAGGATATCATAACAAGTAAGATAAACTAAGTATGGAGAGACAAGTCCCACATGATCCCACTTAATTATGGAATCTAACACAGTTGAACTCACAGAAGCAGAAGGTAGAATGGTGATTGCCAGAGGTGGGCAGTGGCAGAGGGGAGAGCTTTTTTGTTGGTCAAAAATTTCACAATTTCAGTTGAATAAGAGGAATAAATTCAGGCAGCCTGCTGAGGACTTCCCAGCAAATACAGGGAGCTAGGCTGCTCCCTGCACACCATGGGCGTTCATCAGAGCAGACCAGTGAGGACTGTCCAGCCTCACAGGCACCCCTGCAGTAGTCCCCACCCCTGACATGCTCTCGGGCTTCCTGGTTGTGTGGGTACCTGGATCCACACTGAAGAGGCACAGGTGGTCGTAAACGCCATTGTACTGATCTCCAGAAGATAAAACTAAGGTGAACAACTGCAATAAAGGCATACTGGGCCTCCATAGTTAGCAAGTTGAAGGGATGACCACCTTTTCCATCAGAACCTGGGCTATCTTCAGGGGGAGGGCAGCTGGATCCTGCCATAGACCCTTGCAAAGTTCAACCCTGCAGGAGGTCAGGGAGCTCAACTTGGGCCTTGCAGCCAGGCTTTAGCCTGAATCTCAAGAGTCTGCCATTGGCTTGGTCAGACTAATTGACTTAGTTCTTCACATTGCTGCCAACATTGTCTATGTGACAGCAGAGATATACCCTGAAGGAGGCCCTTCAAATTTTTTTTTCTTTTCCTCTTATTTTTGATTTTTAGTTTTAATTTTTAAAATTTTATTTTTCCCCACCTTTAAATTCTTCCTTTTTTCTTTCTTTTTTCTCACTCAATCTCTTGCTCCCCCACATTGTTCTTCATCTACCTTTTTGTTCCTACTCCTGCCCTAATTCTGAATTCTTCTTTCTTTTTCATTTCTTCTCTCTTTTTCCTTCTCTTAGTTGTCATTAGTTTCAAAGGAAAGTGAGTACAATTTATAGCTTCCCTATTACTGTTAAATTGTCCTATTCTTGCTTTTTTTTTGTACTCTGTCTTTCCCTCTTGTCTTCAACAGTTTCCCAGAGTTTGCATGATCATCCTGTGTCCTATGGCTTCACTTGAAACCTTCTCCTATGCTTCTACCTATTCCTCTCCTCCCAACTCCTTCTAAGTCCCCATCCAGAAGGGTAAAGTTACTATACGGAAGAGTTTATTCATTATAATCATATACTGGGCTGCTCCTCGAGTTTGATTCAATTCACATGGTTAAAAGTGATAGATTAATAACTATCACAAATTGTCAATTTCTAAACTGTACTTGATACTATTGTGTTGCTGATTTATCAACTGGTCTAAAGGGTTGTGATTGATTTAATCAGTTGTCCTTCCACATATTATGAAAATGAGAGTGTCTCTCAGTCATTAGAGCCTCAAAATCTAAACAGCAGCTATATCAGGAAGATCAAAGTACTAACCCAGTAATTAAACCAAGGAAAATACCAACAACAAAATTAAAAATGAGAAAACACTTAAGCAAGGCACAAATACAGACTTCCAGCTCACCAATGGCAAATTCTAGGATAAACAAGGTGGAAAAGTCTATCAAAGACCAGGACACC